GGGTACTGTTTTACTCGGGAAACTTTGTTGAACACAAATATTAGTGATTCAAAACAGTAAAACATATTACAGCGATGATATTGTCAGTGAAAGTGACTTTTATTGCATTTTTCACACACAAACGACACTTTCACTATTGATATCATTGTTGTAATACATTTTACTGTTTTGAAACTCTAATATTTGTGTTCAGCAAAGTCTCCCGAGTATAACAGTACCCCCCATGTACAGGTTTTATAGCGTTTTTGAAAGTTACAGGGTCAAATATAAGGGTCAAATATTTTTACATTGAAAATTGCCCGGTTGGTTATGTTGCCTTTGAGAGCGTATGGTAGCCCAGGAATGAAAATGACCCCCATGATGGCATACCATTTGCAAAAGAACACAACCCAAGGTATTGCAAATGGGGTATGTCCAGTCTTTTTTAGTAGCCACTTAGTCACAAACACTGGCCAAAGTTAGCGTTCATATTTGTTTGTGTGTGAAAAAAGTAAAAAAACTAAACTATTTTTTTCACACACAACCAAATATGAATGCTAACTTTGGCCAGTGTTTGTGACTAAGTGGCTATTAAAAAAGACTGGACATACCCCATTTGCAATACCTTGGGTTGTCTTCTTTTGCAAAAATATGTACATGTGTGATTCAGAGACTTATGATAATAGTGTTACAATGTCACTATTGATACATTTTAAAAATATATATTTTAAAACAGCAATTTCCTATTTGGACTTATAGCCCTATAACTTATGGTTAAAACAGGCCGGTCCTGAAGGCAGGGGCGTACCTAGAGCATTTGGCACCCGGGGCGGATCCTGTGCTTGCCCCAAAAAAACCTGTAAAATTTTTTAAAGGTTCTCTTTTTTTTTTTTACACAATTTGTAAAAACTCCTGTCCCAATACAAAACCCCCGCCCCCTTCTACAAAATCCCTGCAGCCCCACACACACATTTACAGGCAGACAGTCACACACTCAGTTACAGACAGTCACACACTCAGTTACAGGCAGACAGTCACATACAGTCACAGGCAGACAGTCACATACAGTCACAGGCAGACAGTCACACATACACATTTCCTCCGTGCGGCCAGTTTATCAGCTGTTTGCTTGTGTGAGCTGTACTGGTCGCACGGCACCCTAACTACCATGGGACACTGTGCGGCCACAGCTCACACAGCCCCCTCCAGCCAGGGCAAGTGCAAGGATTTTTGCTGCCCTAGGCAAAAGTAATGCCCCACCCATATGATTTGCCATGTTAACTAACGCCAGTGCTGCAGTGCCGCCGTGTTTACATTAAAAGGCCTGCAAGGACAGGCTATAGACACCAGAACCACTACATTAAGCTCAAGTGGTTCTGGGGACTATAGTGTTTCTTTAATGTGAGGTAAATTAGAGCTTAGTGCCACGAATAATATACTAGATTGCCTACTTACAACCAGATGAGGATGATGATGGGCTCTAGCTGCCGTCTGGCTCCACTGGTCTGGTGTACAACAGGCTCTCTGGAGGCGGTTTGTAACTGTGGTCACAAAAATCACTGTTCTGGGAGAAGGGGAAGCAGCTCCATTTTTTTGAGGGCCCTTTACACAGCTCAAGGTCTGGGTCCCAGGGTCCACCTTCATGTTCCACCAATGAGTTTGTTCACAAGGGGTGGAGTGTGTAGGGGATGTCCTGATTTGTGTGTAAGGAATGCATTGTGTGAATCTGTGTTTGTATGTGTAGGGCTGCAAGGTGTGTTTCTGTGTATGTAAGGGATGCATTGAATGTGTGTAAGGGTGCATTGAGAGTGTGTGTAATGAATGCATTGTGTGTTTCTGTGTGTGTAGGGATGCATTGGTATTATGCTTGATTTGCATTGTGCTTGTGTATGTGTGTCTGTGTGTGTGTAATGCATTTGTGTGTTTTTCTGTGTGCAAGGGGGTGCATTGTGTATGTGATGAATGTCAATCTCTACTCCGCTCCCAATTCCTTCTCTCCCCCCCTAATTTCTCTATCCCCCTCCTAATATCTCTCCCTCCTCCTAATATCTCTCCCTCCCTCCTAATTTCTCTTCCCCCCTCCTAATTTCTCTCTCACCCCCCTCTCCTTTCTCTTTCTCTCCCCCTCCTTTCTCTTTCTCACCTCCTTTCTCACCCCCCCTTTCTCCTCTTTCTCACCCTCCCTCCTTTCTCACCCCCCTCTCCTTTCTCACCCCCCCCTCTCCTTTCTCACCCCCCTCTCTTTCTCACCCCCCTCTCCTTCTCACCCCCTCTCCTTTCTCACCCCCCCTTTCTCCTTTTCACCCCTCTCCTTTTTCACCCCCCCCTTTGTCCCCCTTTCACCCCCTTTCTCTTTCACCTCTCCCTCTTTTTCACCTCAGCACCACCCCTTTCTCTCCTCTCTTTCACCCCCCTTTCTCTGCCCCTTCTCCTTTTTCACCCCCCTCTCTCCTCTTTCCCCCCCCTTTCTCCTTTTCACTTTATATCTTTTCACCCCCTTTCTCCTCTTTCACCCCCCTCCTTCTCTCACCCCTTTCTCTCTTTCACCCCCTCCTTCTCTCTCCACCCCCCCTTTTCTCCTCTTTCTCACCCCACCTTTTAGCATGGCGTGGCCGAGCCCAGTATAGTCCGCGGGTACAGAGAGCAGCTGTCTCCTGTACCCGGCCGGACTAACAGGAAGTGCACACTCAGTGCAAGAATGGACTTATGTGGATATTTAGATTTTTAGAATTTTGGGTATTACAGTAACCCTTTTTCTATCTTTTTGTGGCCACATTATCATATAGCGTAGAAGTGGACTAATGCAGTCAATCAGCAGAAAATAAGTATTCAGTTCTTTTCCTTTGCCCTGTAACCAATTTACAGTCTGAGAAAAGGATTTTATCACTATTAGCTAAGCTATAGCTGATCCATATTAACCCCTTCAGGCAGTGGCGTACTAAGGGGGGGCGCACTCAGTGTGCACTTCCTGTTAGTCCGGCCGGGTACAGGAGACAGCTGCTCTCTGTACCCGTCGGACTATCAATGCTGCAGGGCTCGGCCACGCTACATAAAAGGAAGCTGACAGGAGGGAGCGCTGAGCGCTCAGCGCTTCCCTCCTGTCAGCCCCCTTTCTCAGGCTGCGCCCGGGCGGTGCGGTCCGCCCTCATGGACGCACCGCCTGGGCAAAGCTGCAGCCGCCTGAGGCTCAATACATAGCGCTCGGGCGGCTGCAGCATGGGGGGGGCGGCGGGGCTGGCCATGGCACCCCCCACCCGGCTGGCACCCGGGGCGAACCGCCCCCCCCACCCCCCCTTAGTACGCCACTGCCTGAAGGGGTTAATATGGATCAGCTATAGCTTAGCTAATAGTGATAAAATCCTTTTCTCAGACTGTAAATTGGTTACAGGGCAAAGGAAAAGAACTGAATACTTATTTTCTGCTGCTTGACTGCATTAGTCCACTTCTACGCTATATGATAATGTGGCCACAAAAAGATAGAAAAAGGGTTACTGTAATACCCAAAATTCTAAAAATCTAAATATCCACATAAGTCCATTCTTGCAAGCGTGCTGTCTTGGAGTCATACTTAATTCTGTCTTCACCTTTCAGTCTCACATCCACTATATTTCCAAATCCTGTATAATTCCATTTTAAAAATGTAGCCCCTTTCTTATGCAAGATGCTACCAAGGAACTTGTACATGCTCTAGTAATTTCCTGCATGGATTATTGTAACCCTCTCCTGATTGGCCTTCCCAAAAGCCGTACTGCCCCGCTACAGTCGGTAATGAATGCTGCCGCCAGACTGATTTTCCTCTCTAGTCGGTCCTCTCACACCTCACCCCTCTGTCAGTCCTTACATTGGCTTCCTTTATCCTATAGGAGTCAATTCAAAGTGCTAACCCATACCTATAAAGCACTGAACAATTCTAGCCCTTCTTATATCTCTTCACAGATCCATAGGTATGCCCCTTCTCGGTGTCTCTGCCCTGCCCGTGACCTTCTCCTGTCCGCTGCTCACACCCATACGGCCAACTCACGCTTGCAGGACTTGCAGGCGGCTCCCTTCCTATGGAATAGCCTGCCTACCGCCATCAGACTCTCCCCTAGTCTTCAATCATTTAAGAAGTGCCTTAAAACCCATCTCTTTAGGAAAGCTTATGGCCTTCCAGAGTAACCTCTACCTCACATACCTGTCTCTTGCTCTCTCTTAAAGGGCAGCACTTTACTTTCTTCTCCAACTCTGCTTCACTCCCTGCATATATATTTCTATTTCCTGTCCTAATGTGTTTTATACCCCACCTCCTATAGACTGTAAGCTCGTTTGAGCAGTGTCCTCTTCAACCTATCATTCCTGTAAGTTTTCTTGTAATTGCCCTATTTATAGTTAAATCCCCCTCTCATAATATTGTAAAGTGCTATGGAATCTGTTGGCGCTATATAAATGGCAATAATAATAATAATAATAATAATAATAATAATAAAATACCTACTGACTGAGCTGCTAAACATGCACACTGTTGCTGAAAGCAGGATCAAATACAAGTACACACCATACATAAATCAAGTCAGCGCAAGTAGATGCCAAAATATGCACTGGTAGTGCTACATACAGTTTATTTCAAGGATCAAAAAGAAACAAACGTTTCAGGTTTCCCGTTTGTCAATGACAAAATGTCTTTACAGAAAGAAAGCCTACTCATTCATATATATATATATATATATATATATATATATATATAAAAAAAAAAACAGAAAAGCAACAAAACAGCCCACACCCAACCTCATTGAAGAGGAGTAGGCATACTCTGTCAGAATCCTGCACCGACATTTTGTGGGTGCTACACGAGTCTGGCGTGGTCACATGATACACTGTAATGTCAGACAATGAACCTGACGTCTAAAGCATATACACACACATTCATACAGACACACATACACAAACACACACACACACACACACACAGACACATACATAAAGACACACATGCCGAATGTTTTAGTCATCCTCTTGTTTCCTTCCATAGGCGTGCGCAGCCTATTGCACACGCCGCGCGTGTGTGTGTGTGTGTGTATATATATATATATATATATATATATATATATATATATATATACACACACATACATACATACACACACACACACTGCTGTGTGTGCTGTTAGTGTGCTGTGTGCTGTTAGTGTGATGTGTGTGTGAGGGTGCTGTTAGTGTGATGTGAGGGTGTTTGTGTGTGTGTGTGTGTGTGTTTGTGACTTTGCTGTTTGTGTGTGTATGTTTGTCCTGTGAGGGTGCTGTTTTTGTGAGTGTTGTGTATTTGTGAGGGTGCTGTTAGTGTGCTGTGTGTGAGGGTGTTGTGGTTTTTTTTTTAAAGGTGCTGTGTGTGTTTATAAGGGTGTGGATAGTGTACTGTGTGTGTGTGAGCAGTATGTGTGTAGGTGCTGTATGTGAGTGTGCTGTATGTTTGGAGGGATTTGGCAGATTAGTAAATCCTTGCTGTCATGTGCCATCCCTGGTGGTCCAGTGGAGAGTGAACTCTAGCCTGCGGGGCTAGAGTTAACTCTCGCGAGATCTGAGCGTTGCCGCAGCAACGCTCAGATATTGCAAGAGGAACCTGGCGGAGCTTCTGTCTAGAGCTCCCTGGGTCCTCTCCTGCCTCCCTCCATGCTGCTGTGGGACGGTGAGGTAGATCTTTCATCTCCCCACCAGCCAATGGAGGCTTAGAGCAGAGCCGGCACTCAGATAGCGCCGGCTCTGCATGTGTGTGTGTGTGTATATATATATATATATATATATATATGCGTACACACACACACACTCTCAGACACATTCAGACACACACACAGACACACACTCACACAGACACACACATACACTCACAGACACACACTTACACACACAGACACACTCTCACACACACTCACAGAAACACACTCACACTCACACACAGACACACAGACACACACAGACACACTCACACACAGACGCACACAGACACACTCACACACACACACACTCACAAGAACAAATTATTATATTTTAACAAAAAAAATGTCCACCCAGCCTCCTACCTGGAGTGCTGGCGTGGACTTGTCCCTGGGGTCCAGTGGGGCGGGCGCCTCTCTGCAGCGGCGAGGGAGCTGTCTGCTCTCTGCTCTCTCTCGCCGCGCGGGCTGTCCGCTGTAGCTGGGAGCCGGAATATGACGTCATATTCCGGCTCCCGGCATCAGCGCGCGGCGAGAGAGAGCAGACAGCACACAGCTCCCTCGCCGCGGCTGAGCTGCAGAGAGGGGGGCGGGGGAATCCATCACCTCTTGCCCTCCCCCTCCCCCCAATGACAGGGGCAAGAGGTGAAACAGGGGATGCTGAGTGCCTGCAGGAACAGCGTTCCTGCTCAAAAAAAGTGCAGGAACGCTGTTCCTGCAGGACTCAAACCATAGGCGTGCGCACGGGGATTAGGGTGTGCCCAAGCACACCCGGCACACCCCGTGCGCACGCCTATGTTTCCTACCTTTTAGGTGCAGTAGGGTGAATTTCCTTGGGGTCCAGTGGCTCAGGCTGATGGGAGTCAGAGTTCCCACCCTGACTACCTTCTCTCCTTCCTCCTCCCTTGCAGCACGGTGATTGCTGGGAGGAAGTGACCGGGGCAGACACTTCCTCCCAGCTCTGACATCATCAAAGGGGGCACGGCCGCTCTGTTAAAGACACATACAAACACACATACAGAGACATACATATACACATTTATGCAGACACACACTTACAAAGAAACATACATACAGACACACATATACATACAGACACACATGCCGAATGTTTTAGTCATCCTCTTGTTTCCTACCTTTTAGCTGCAGGAGGGTGAATTTCCCTGGGGTCCAACAGGCTCAGGCTAATGGGAGTCAGAGTTCCCACCCTGACTACCTTCTCTCCTTCCTCCTCCCTTGCGGCACAGTGATTGCTGGGAGGAAGTGACCAGGGCAGACACTTCCTCCCAGCTCTGACATCAAAGGGGGCACGGCCGCTCTGTTAAAGAGTGCACGGCCATGCTGTTAAAGCATACGGCGCCGGCTCAGGTTACATAGCCAGCGGACACCCCACGGTAGTTCCGCCACTGGACCCAACCTTTTGAGTTAACCCAACCGCAAACTTAGTGTGAACCTCTTTTCAACCTTGAAAGATTGTTTCCCAACTGAACATGTGGCTAAATATTTGGCTCTGCGAGTATGCAAACCACTTGATTAAGTCACTAGAAACAAACTCAGAGCTAAATGCCCCAGGCCTACTACCCAGAGGTGGATCCCAAATTTTGAATTTCTTGGGCAAACCAGACTGAAAAGCCAGAAAGGGCATGGAATTCTCCTTGCAACTGCCAGGATAAAATCCTAAATATTCTTGGACCCAGTACTAAAAATGTTTTTGAAATGGTGTAATTTGCTCTCTCTGAGGGTACTCATTGGATCTCCTTACCATAAGGGTTAGGATCCAACCAATTATGTCCCTTATTGGTAATGTCAATACTGCTGTGGCACCAAACAATACAAGGCTTTCTTATTGAAGATAGAACCTAATGCAGGGAAAGGTCTCCTCTTTTGAGACAAGTTTGTGATAGAGTTAGGCACCTTCGTTAGTGCCTTCACAGACCTAGATAAAGCCCAATTCAATTTGAGGATGGTCTTTAGCACTAAGATTTTTGAGGGTGGTCAGGAAAGCATAGGTCAGTCTGGCCAGCTGATCCACTAGGGGTTCATTCTGCTGACCTCAAAGCTCTTGGCAATCTAGGACATTTTTTCAGGAAGCTACACCATCCTCATCTACCTTCTTCCCCCCCAGAGAGGACACCCTTGACAGACTCAAGGCCAACAACCTTATGGTAATTTAAATTATCACTTTTCCATGAAAAAGCAGGGGGCAGATTAATGCTTTTTTCCAGAGCAAGGAGGTCCTTAACTATGGATGTGTGGGTTCTCCAGATCATGTTTGAATATCACAATTCTTGAAACCCCCAATTCAAGCAGCTGTGCCACACGATTCCTTCTCCAAACACAACGAAGCTACCGCTTTCTGGTGCCCAAGAAAGGAAGTGGAATGCGTCCTATGATCAACCTTTAACGTTTGATCACTTTTATCCTCTATCAACCTTACAAAATTAAATTAATCCATTGGTATTTTCTTCTTAAAGGGGACAGGATCGCCAAGCTCGACCAAGCTCCTAAGAACAGTAGTGGGCTCCCTTTGCAGATATGGTGTTCGTCATACTCTATTAAGACGATGTGTTGATTATGTCTTAGGATATAATCAAACTGCACCTCTCATGGACTCTTTTTCATCTAATAGGATTTCTCTTCACCTAGGAAAAGTCAGTCCTCACCCCATCATAATGCATTGAATTCCTGGCATTTACCATAAATTCTGTTTGCGGCTCTCTTCATTTGCAATCCTCCAAAGTGAAGACTACCAAGAAAGGAATCAGATGCCCATTGGCTTGACCAATGATCACAATCTATCGTCTGGCAAGAATTATTGACCTACTATCTGCCTCAATTCAAGTCCTTTTCCCAGGCCCATTACACTACACCACCTGAAGAATGGTTCTCTTCATTAGGGGGTTATGTACAATCATATCATCTGATTGACTGCAAAGCTGCAGAAGAACTCTAATGGTGGCTCCTGCATACTGATGCTTGTAATGGCAGAACATTCTGTGTCAACGTGTCAGATGCAAGCTTGATCAGCTGGGGTGACAGATCTCAACAGACAGGAGTAGGTCACACAAGGAGAATGAACTCCACATCAATTGCCTCGAACTTATGGCAGGTTTGTTTGCTCTTCACGTAAATAAATCTGTGAATTACTCTAGTCTACTTTGCCTGGACAATGTATCAGCCGTCTGATATAAAAATAATAATCTGGGCGGCACCAGATCACAAATCCTGATCGACGTGGCAAAGTAGTTCTAACAGTTTTATCTAGCCTGCAACCTCTTGGTTCAAAATATCACGGGATTGTCCAATAATGTCGTGGTTTGGAATTTTAGATTCCTCAAGGATTCCAGCAAGTGACAACTAATATTGTAAAGCGCTGCGGAATTAGTTGCCACCAAATACCAATCATAATAATAAATAAACCACAAAGTTTTTTTATTTTACATCCATGGGGACTGTTGGATCTCTATCAGTTGGAGGCCAGATCTGGAAGAACGTGCAACATACGCCTTTCCCTTACTAAGAGCCTGTAACAAACTTACCTGATTCACGCGCCCACGCAACTCCTCTTGTTAGGTCGCTTAAGCCAAATGCTCCATGTGTCTGCACTACTCCCCTTCTCAGGTTTTGCAGACTGAACGCTCCAGGCAGCTGTGCAATCTGAAAAGGGAAAACTTCCTTGCATTCTGTTGGATGTTGCCCCCCTTGAATGGTGTGTCCTTATGTAATTTAAAGTGGACCAATCAGAATGTGTAAGCTTATTTGGGCCCTTATTCAGTGCCCTATTGTGCTTTCTGCCTTTTTACACATTTGGTGTTTATAGGAAGCTGATATCGACCTTGGCTTGTTTATTGACTATGAGTATTTCTGGAATCCTGACTTGGGTTTGTTATTTTTGTATATCTGTACTTCTACTATCCTCACCTCAGGTTCTTTGCCTCTATCTTTATTAATGTCAAGTACGGCCACTCTAAGACCCGGCAATACATCTATTTAGTACCTTCATTTGTGGGTTTTGCCATTTCCTGTAAGTAAAGGTCTTTCCCACCGTTTTGCCTTATGTTGCCATTAGAGAAGATCCTTATGCTAACCACTCCCTCAAACATAGAACATCACAGTGCCCTGTTGTGGTTCCTAGTGTCCCAATAGTACGTTCTTTTGTCCGTTTTGTATAATTTTGGTATTGACCCGGCTTGCTCTCGACTACTCTGTTTTCTGGCTCCCTGTCGATGCTCCAAGTGCTCACCGAGGACTCCAAGCACCCAACCCGACACCATCAACACCGCGGTCCCCCGTCCAGCATTACAGCTTGGCTGGGAACTTACCGTCCTCCACCCACCAAACATAAGGATCCAGCTTCCAGTGGGTGAACCTCTCCTACTCCAGAGAGCATAGCAGGAACAGCTCTTAAAAGATCTACTGATTATAATCCCAGGGGAGTATAGTGATATAGCAATCCCCAGGGTAGATACAGCCGTTTCCCCCCACACATGAGATGAGACTCTATGTTGAGGGTAAGCAGGAACTCAATATTAATGGAGCCATACTGGCCTTTTATGCAAGTTTCCCAACAAGGGTGACACCCACGTGGACCTTGTTGGGCACAGGGACACAAGTTAACAAACCAATAAAAACAGCGTTATACAGTGAGAAACTTCCATACAGACCAAATGGCTACTAAAAAAGATTGGACATACCCCATTTGCAATACCTTGGGTTGCCTACTATTGCAAATGGTATGCCATTGTGGGTGTAAATTTCATTCCTGGGCTACTATAAAGTCCCAAAGGCAACGTAACCAATCTCGAATTTCAATTTCAATATATTTGACCCTGTAATTTACCAAAACGCCATAAAACCTGTACATAGGGGGTACTATTTTACACGTGAGACTTTGCTGAATACAAATATGTGTATTTTATTGCAGTAAAAGCAAACAGTATTATGACATTGACAGTTAAAATGTCATGTAGAACTAAAAAAATAAATTAAAAAAATCTTATTTTCTCCCATTTTTTTCATAGTAAATGTTTCATAGCTAAATATTTGATATTAAATGAAAGCCCTGTTTCCCCTGAATAAAATGATATACAATAAGGGTGGGTGTATTTACTATGAAAGAGTTGAATTACGGTTGGACTGACATGTAGCGCAAATGCCAGGTTTTGTTTACATTTTGTTTCGTTCACAACGTGTACATTTGGGGTTAAGGCAGATAAATGTCATATCCCCATAAATGTTACATCCCCTGATAGCCCTGGTCTGGGTGACCAACATATCCAAAATTCACCCAGATTAGATCAGGGGTTCAGAAATTTTATGGAAGTCATAGTTTTGCCAAGGCGCAGGCATGGTCCCATTCCCAAAACAGTTCCACAGAATCGTGGCTAAGTGCCGCTGGAGGACGGACTGGGAACCGCAAGGTTTTCATGACGAAAATAGTTCCAGGGCATTCGCGGCTAAGTCCCCCTGAAGTTTATTCGCGGTTTTGGTCCATGCGAACAAGATGGCCGCCACCACGTGTTTGAATGTTGAATGGTGGCCACTTTGACTGTTCTGGAGTTTGAAGTGTCACTTCGAAAGCTCGAACTGTGGCCATAAAAATTAAAAAAGGCACGAACAGTGATTTAAACCAAGTTTTATCACAGGGGCCATAGTCACAGGGTAGGAGGCTGGCAAACAAGCCCCTCCAAAAACCAGTGACGCCACAGTATGTTTTTCTTTCTTTGCAGTGTGAAGTTCTCTCATCTTGGATGTTCTAGTTTAAAGGATGTGTTGATGCCCTTTTTCCTACAGATGATGTTTTAATTAATTTATATTAGTTTTTTTAAAGTTAGGTATTTTATTTACAGTATATACTCGAGTATAAGTCTAGTTTTTCAGCACATTTTTTTGTGCTTAAAAACCTCCACTCGACTTATACTCGAGTCACTGTCTGTATTATGGCAACTTAGAGAGCCGCGGCCGTCAGACCGCAACCAGACCGCAAGACTTACAGTGGAGCTGACCGGAACGGAGGAGAAGGGAGCTGCAGGAAAGGTAAGTATATGCTTCCTGCCGGCCCCCCCACTTCACAGCCCATGCCACTGGACCACCAGGGATTAAGATAGCCCCCCTCCCTGACCAGTTAACTAGCAGGGAGGGGGGACAAAAAAAAATTTAAATAATAAAAAAATAATAATATTAAAAAAAAATTAAAAAATTAAAATAATAAAAACGCCCTCCCCCCACCCGGTTCACACACACTACATTATATACACAGAGTGTGTGTATATAATGCAGAGTGTGTGTGTGTGTGTGTGTGTATATAATGCAGAGTGTGTGTTTGTATGAGTGTGTGTGTGTGTATATAATGCAGAGTGTGTGTTTGTATGAGTGTGTGTGTGTATATATAAAATGCAGAGTGTGTGTTTGTATGAGTGTGTGTATATATAATGCAGAGTGTATGTTTGTATGAGTGTGTGTGTATATAATTTATAAAAATCACAGAATGCCATAGCCCCAAGTTTTACCCTCGACTTATCCACGAGGCATAGCATATTTCACAATTGTTGGTCACAAAACTGCACTCGACTTATACATGAGATCGACTTATACACGAGTATATACGGTAATTATAGTATGTTATACTATATTTGGTTAACACAACATTAAGGAAAGAGGAGGTTTTGTATTTCATGCATCTTTATGTTGATGGGATGTATTTTTGGATGTTCTGATTGGCTGTGCTAAGAGTCTATGTTAACCATTGGTATCCTATTTTGTCACTTTTAAAGTTCAAATATTTTTTCTCTCTCTTTGCTGCTGAAAGAATAAATAAAAGGTTAAGCATAATATTTGCCTCCGTGTCTTAATAAAATCATGACTTGTCTTCATGATATTAGTAGAATCTTGTTATTTTATTTTACTGCTGCTTTAGCTTCTAGTGCCCAAATTATATATTTTCGAGTTTTTAAAATTTGGGGCCATTCAGCTTCTGATAAATAGATTATTTTGCCAAACATTATTGGGTTACTTCAACCAAAAACAGGGAGAGGAGGGGGAGGAAGGAACTAACCTGTGATACCACAAAGAGTCCAAGTTTTCACTACAGCCCTTGAAGCAATGCTTTCCTATGGGGAGGGCCTAATGCGGTACCGGAGCGCATGCGCATTAGCCCCCACGTCGGAGGAGGCGGAGTGCCGACCAAGCACTGAGGGAGGACGGCACTTGAATCGAGTGAGTACACAAAGAGTGTATTAAACCTTTCAATGCTGGGGTGTGGGGGGAGTGTGGCTGAGGTAACTATAGTGTATGGAATGCAGATTTGTTTTCCTTACACTATAGTCCCTTTAAATGTTGACTGCAGACTGCTCCTGAAGACAGTGGGCTCACTATCAAAATCAACACTTCGTTCTCAAGCATTTTCTGACAATAATGATCAAGGCATATTTTGCAATGGTTTTAATGTTGAACAAATCTGTGGGCAATTTGGAGGAAGTCTTGTGCTGTTTAATGCTTGATCACATTAATTAATTTATACTAGTTATTTGCTGCCAAATGTCCAGAAATAATCTATAATATTGTTATGGGCATATGTAACTATTACCAGTTTTTAGAATGAAAAGTATTTATGAAACTGTGTAGTTTGTCTGTAAGTGATTCTACAAACTGACAATTTGTTAGAAATGGAAAAAAATAAATTCATCCAAGGTTACTTTAATAAATGACCTCTTAGCCATATTCAGTAATTATGGTGTTCAGACTTTAGGACGCCATTTTGTCCTAGGTTAATGTAACAATTCAGGAAATTTCCCATGTCATATGTACCCTTACGTTTTAGTCTAAGCATAGATAAGATGTCTAGGTCATGACAAGAGATTGATTAATATGTTATCATATGAAATGACCAAGTCATGGCCTTGTAGATCCGAACATGACCTAATTGAAAATTTAAAGGTATAAATATGTGAACGTATTAATATTAGGACACAGAGGAGAGCATTGTGGATGCAGGGACACTGTTGACTTGTTCAAGAGGATATGTTATTCTATTTTACTGATATTGCAAGCATATTTATTTATTTATTAAATATTTTACCAGGATGGATACATTGAGATTTCTCAAGTTTTCATTCAAACTCTGCTATAAATTATTGTAATGGATTATTATGTTTTTATATGTCTATATTTATATTTAATAAAACATTTTAAAAGACAAAACTTTATTGCTTTCTTTAATGGATTAATTGACTGCTACGATTCACAAGAGCTTACCCTCGGGGACCCTGGATTGAATAGAAGGAAGCAAATAGCTCCCCATAGGGTACTAGGTTGGAGGATTCCTGTTGCAGTGAAAATCCCTTTCCTTACTCCCTCCCTTCCCCTGTTACACTTTAAAGGGACACTCCAGTGCCAGGAAAACAAACCGTTTTCCTGGCACAGCAGGTCCCCTCTCCCTCCCATCCCAAGTTGCTGAAGGGGTTAAAACTCCTTCAGTGACTTACCTGTATCCAGCACCGATGTCCCTTGGCGCTGGGTCAGGCTCAGACTAGGCTCCTCCCCCGACGTCAACCAGCGGGGGAGACCTATTGCACATGCACGGCAGGGGAGACCGAATGCATATGCGCGGCAATGCCACGCACTCGCATTAGACCTCCCCGTAGGAAAGCATTGAATAATGCTTTCCTATGGGTATTTCGGCAACATAGAGTGAGGACGTCCAGCGTCGTTATAAAACATCTTTCACGGAAGTGTCCTCTAGTGGCTGTCTAGTAGACAGCCACTAGAGTTGGACTTAACCATGCAAGGTAAATATTGCAGTTTATGAAAACTGCAATAATTACACTTGCAGGGTTAAGGGTAACCCTCCAATGGGCAGAAGTGGTCTGGGTGCCTGTCTTGGACACAGAGGCAGAACAAAATGTTCCAAAGTTTATAAAAGTTGACAGTGCTAGTGTGACAATGTGTAAATTGACTGCTGCAATGTTCTGGGAGTCCTGTATGGCTCCATAGTGTGGTACAAGGAGTTATTATGCTCAGACATGTTTCTATTTTTGCATCACAAATAAAGTATTAAAAAAAAATTGGGTTATTGACGTTCAGTAGATTACCAACTTAGGTACTCCAGATATTTGAGAATTAATAGCAGCTCCCAAACCTTTACTATGTTTGTTGGCCATGACTGCCAATAGCTATGTAAAACAAACACTCACATGGACCATGCGCTGTTCCAAGTCACGTGCCAAAACCAGGAAGCGGATGTATTGCGGCAAGCCGTCACGTGAAGCGCTATTTCACCGCAATCTAGCGAGCTGAAAACCGGGGGAACATGAATTCCGTATTTTTGCGAAAGGCAGGAATAGCATTGAAAGATGCGTGCCCCGGGCTTTCTCGCCATTATCTGTGAGTAAGAGTGCGTGTTATCCCGGTTACTGTACGCTGTGTGGTTCCCGGCATGCACCGGGCGGGCAGTGAGAGGGGTACGTACAGGAATAGTCTGGGTAACCCTCACATCAGTGCTATCAACTCTTAGTGCAGTGTCTGCAGCGATAGCGTCTGTTATTTATGGCTCCCAAAAATTTGTCACATTCCTACTTCATGGGTTCACGATGAGCAGGGTATTCGGAAAAATCATGCTCCTGCATTCTAGACCGGTAGTAATACTCTAGTATGCTGCTTTATTCCAGAACCCCGAATATCCCTTTTTAAATTGTTTACTTTGTACAGTGTAGTGTGTGTGTGTGTGTGTGTGTGTGTGTGTGTGTGTATGTATATATGTGTGTGTGTGTGTGTGTGTGTGTGTATATATATTATTAATTAATTATAGCCAAAAGTACAAGATAGATAGCACTCCAGGGACTTCCAAGTAGAATGAATAAAACTTAGCTTTTATTAGCTCAAAATAAAAATCAACGTTTCAGTCTGTATCACAGACTTTGAGCCTGATGAAAGTCTGTGATACAGACTGAAACGTTGATTTTTATTTTGAGCTAATAAAAGCTAAGTTTTATTCATTCTACTTGGAAGTCCCTGGAGTGCTATCTTGTACATTAAGGAAGGTGGAGTGCATTACATTACTATTTTTGTGTTGTGTGTGTGTGTGTGTGTGTGTATGTATATGTGTGTATATATAATATATTTACACACATGGTTAGTTGTTAGGGCAGAACTGATATGTGTGTGTGTGTGTGTGTGTGTGTGTGTGTGTGTGTATATATATATATATATATATATATATATATATAATATAATTTTTCAGGGCAGAATCTTTTATTTACAGCTATTGTTCTGAATTGAGTCTTTCACAGCTTGAATACTCATCTGCTGAATGTTGTGGAGTGAGGCACCTCACAAATAAAGGCACACACTTCTAGCTCACTCCTGGAAAATATGCCTAATGTAGTGCAGCTAAGCAGTATACAAAATAGGATTTTTTTTTTTTTCTTTCAAAGGACTTTCCATCAGGACACAGAGACATGGTGTCCTTTACTAAACTGAATTTTAACTTTTAAGTAAAAATAAATGAACTTGAACAATTCTCTAAGTCAGCTTTGCTTTCAATTAAGCTATTCTGAAACTCACAATTCTTACTTCAAGAAATTACCCTGATATTCAGGTTTATTTACTAAAGTGAGAATTGTCAGGTATTCTAAAAAAAATTAAGGCTAAGATTTAACTAAAACATTCTCCAAGTCAGCTACGCTTCCAGTTTATTAGCCGCCTTAAATTTTGATGTTCACTTTGAATTCCCAACAGTTCTCATGTAAAGTTGCATTATAGGCACCAGGAAAACATTTTAGCTTAATGAAGCAGTTTTGGTATATAGATCAATTCACTGCCATTTAGGAGTTAGATCACTTTGTTTATACAGCCCTAGCCACATCTCCCTGCATGTGACTTACACAGTCTTCCTAAACACTTCCTGTAGCGAGACATTTCATGTTTAAACTTCCTTTATTGTACATTCTGTTTAATTTAGAATGTACTATTTCCTGCTCTGTAAATAGCCTTCTAGACCATGCAAGAACCTCAAAGAGAGAGCGAAAAAGAAAGAGAGAGAGAAAGAAAGAGAAGGCGGTTCGCCAGGAAGCGTGGAGGTGAAGGAGCAGAAATCTTATTGCAGTTCTTGCTCTGCTCCCACATGCGGCCTGCTCTGATACTGGGAACTAGAATATGATGTCAACCCTGGACCCGCATCACTAAACTGCATGCGAATGAACAGAGCAAGAATAGCCTGAAGATTATGCAAGCCCCACAGGACCTTAGGGAAAGGATCCCCTGCAGCTCTCCAATAAATTGGATACACTTAAATAAAAATAATCACTTTTGAATGTCTGTCAGTGTGTCCATGGCTGAGATCAATCTTGATGATCTCAAGCCAAAGCATTGTGAGGCTATTGCGCATACACAACAAAACGCTGCACTGCGCCAATCTTCATTTCCTTATAGAGATGCATTGAACTAATGCATCGCTATGGGGAACATTCAGCATTGTAAAAACCTGACTCCTAACTTTTTTTAGCTGGCTCTTAGATTCCAAGCACATTTGTTAAGCCCTGTTCTATACATTAAAACTGCTCTGTTTATATGGAGTTGTTTTGATGCCTATAGTATTCCTTTAAGTTCCTTTAACAGCACTTTTTTCCCTTTAGGATACATTTGTTTTTTTACTATGCTACCTTGGAGAGGGGAAAGCTTCCAGTAAATTGGCAGGTTGTACCATCAAACTTTGGACAGTCTGATAATTGAGCTTCTGCAACCACTTGTCCAGTGGATACAAGAAGGTAGATATGCATTCGCTGTATTGTGAATGTGTCCAGTTGCAGCTCGGCTCATTCAAAATTGTATGGTCCAAATCGGTAAAGTGCCATTAATGTAAAAATAATGGCATCTGTTTAATCAAATGGTTTTACCAGTACGCTGCTATTGAAAAGGCAATCACAATTTTTCTGTATAAGAGACCTGTTGTACAATGATGGCAAATTTTTACTAATGTTCCTGTAAAGCATATTCCTTAGTCTTTTCTCAGTTTTGAAGGTGTTTCCATTGCTTTGGCATATGTAATACATCTTAAGATCATTGACTGGAACTAAACAAACATGACATGAAGTCTTGTTTTGCAGTGTGTGTGTGTTTAAAATTGTTACATGTTTGTTTTCTGTATTACTTTGTATTTACTTGTCTGTACTATACTTTTTTTTTTTACCCCCAGATCTCTCTGCAAGTCAAAATCAAGTAAGTCAATATTTTTGTATTTTTTCCATAATAAAAAAAAAAAGAAAAGAAATAAGATTATAAAAAAAGAAATTGCGAGGCTCCAGACCACCCTCTTGAAAAGAGTGAGTGGAAATTAAGTCTTGGTCACAGAATTTTACATGACTGTAGATTAATACCTTGCCACATCATGCATGGCTGCCGGTAGAGGAAAGCTTAATCTAGAAGCTCATGACCCGTGTGAATCATAGTTACATGGAGCTGGACTTTGTCTATTAAGTACATTTACGCAATAGCTCACACTGTTGTGATGTGCATCATCACCTCTGGTGTTCTGCATTTCTACATCATGAGTCTTACCAAACCTGTGATTGTCAGTAGACTTGTGTTAAAAAAAAAAAAATATATATAAAAAATTGTTTCGTCCAAGAATCAATCAATATGTATTAATCAAAATTCTTTTAATCCACACAAAAATGAATCAATTTGTTTGGGGAAAAATTGAAACCAACAATTTTGTTCAGATGAGATTTAAAAGGATATATTATTATTTTTTTTTGATGAGTAAAACACATTTTTGCACAAGTCTACTTGTCAGGACTATTAAACCTAGCTCTGAAGCTTACATTGACACCAAGGATAAAGCCCTAACCAGTGTCAAAGATTACAAAAAGATGAAAATGGAATGTAGTGGCATGTCACTGACCCATTCATCCATGTCATTTACCATGGAGTGAAAGGATACCAGTAAAATGAAAAGTGAAAGGGTATAAACACACACACTGTAACCCCAAACATAAGTGCATTCATACATATATACGCCCTTGGATGTACTAAATTGTTAGTCATGCTCATGTCATGGTTATGGTGCCATTAGGTTGCATGTGCCATCCCCCGGCTTTTTGTCAAAAAATTTTTGAAGCACAGTGACAAAAACTGTGGGCCCCTCAGGAACCTGCTTGCTAGCTCAACTACTACTAATACAAAGGTTCCTCTTTGCATTAGCAATAGCATTCTCATCCATATTTTAAAAGAACACTCAAATAAAAAAAATAAAAAATAAGACAGCCACTGACTGGTAAGTGTGAAAATGACTAAATTTAAAAAGTGCCACCTCTTTATTTTTTTTTTTCATATTTTTAAAAAATTATAAAATGTATTGAAATGTTCTTAAATATTAAATCATATGAAAAGCTTATCCACAAATTTTAGATCAGGACATTAGTTTGCTAGTCAATAGGGGCAACATCTTTGCCACAAAATCACTTACTGTAAATTTTCAGATGTTTGTTCTTAGACTGTCCCTATAAAGCTATGCATTTACTAATGCAGCTGACAAATTTTAATTACAGGATACTAAAACAAATATCCTAACCTCAAATTACCATATCATATATAATTACAACAAGATGCATTGTTGTATAAATGATTGTGAGACGCCAAATAAAAATCCTATATCAATATTTATACCAGGGCTCAAAATTTACACTAGCCATTTACGAGTAGAAATTCACCCCGATGTGTGTACCAGTCATCTGCAGGGGCCATATGATCTACACCTTTGCAGTCCACTTTTAGCATATCTGGCGCTCACTAAATTTACTATTATGTCCTGGTAGCTGTAATACTGGCTGAATGTCAAGGGAGTTGACATATCGCAACAGCTATACATGTACATTTAGGTAACACTACACAATGGAGCCCCAACGCGGGTTTTGCCGGTCAGCGGCTCTTCAAGGGGGAACCCTGGTCCCGGGCTTTTTAGTTTAAATATCGCACCCTCCGGTCTGATTGGTCTACCGGAATATTGATGGTGTCGTCATAGTGAGTAATTGATTAGGGGAACAGAGATGGTCATATTTATATTTCAGTTGGTCTAACATAGATTTGTATGGTAGATAAAGGAAAATTTATTCCTACTTGCCGTCATTTTCTTTTCCTGGTCATAGGCAGCACAACAATGGGTAGCTCCTCCCTATCCCTAACCAGACAGGAACCTAATTAAAACAGAAGGTATAAGTAACCCCTCCCACCCTCAGTCTTGTTTCCAGCAATGTCCCATGACGGGATCTTTGTGCTGCCATGGCCTATGACCAGGAAAAGAAAATTATGGTAAGTAGGAATACATTTTCCTTTTTCCTGGCCATATCCATGGCAGCACAACAATGGCTAGTAACCAAGGGAGGGAAAGAAGTACATAAACTTCCAAAATATGAATGCAAATTGACAAAACACACCTCATAAGGACAGTGGAAATGAAAAACTGATTGCCCACTATTGGCACATTATCAAATTGACCAACTCAAATGTACCAAAAAAAAAAGTTCCAGGGAAACTTGGCCACCGATGCTCAAGAGGGAGAAATGGCTCTAGAGCAAACAGACATTTAAGTACTATAACACCTAGGGCTTAGTTGCCTAAAAAACAGCCAAGACTATCCATCTGCTGATGGCTTATATAGAGGCTTGAAGATGTTTATGGTCTATTAGTAAAGATAAACAGACTATCAGAAGAAATCCAGAAAGCGGATCTATAAAAATAGATCTTAAGGCATCTATCTAGGACAGGAGGAGAACGTTTTATTACGACTCTACTTTCTATGCAAAATAGTGCTTGAGGATCTAATATCCTTCAGTCTATGCCAATGTCACCGATAGAGCTAACTTAATATTAAGCAATTGTGGAGAGATATACTCTCATGGTTAAAAGGGGTGAAGATTTCAGTGCCCTAAAAAAAAAAACGGGAAGAATTCCACAGAGAGCAATAGATAACTGTGAGATCATATAAATACAGCCAACAGAAATTTAGATGCTTCCATATTAAAGCCCTTTCACGAAAAGAGAGATCAGAGAGTGCTGAGACCTATATCTCTGAGGTGATGTGGCTAATTCCTAGATAAGTACTGGATTGAAGAACTTAGAACCTTCTTGGCAGAATGAATTTGAATGAAAACCTAATTAGAAATAGACCAGGAAAAAAGGCATCTCAACTCTGTAAAGGATATAAGTTTTCCATGGTCCTCAGAAGGGTATAAATTACTGTAGTTCAAAAACTCTTATATGTAAGCCCTTCTACATTATTGAAACCTTCAGAATGAGGAAAGTAGCACTGGACCTGACGGAAGAGGTTGAAGGGGTTATATCCATATATATGCTCTGTATGTGCCTGCCCAGCCTGTTACTCCTTGGTCACTGCAGGAAATAGGCTGATAGCAAAATCTTGCTACCTCTAGGGTCACCGCAAGTAAATCCATGGGAAAGTACAAGATAGTGAGTTGTACTTTAACCCTTTCAATGATGGAATGCTAGTCCATCTCACATTAACTCCTTCAGGGATGAAATGTTAGTTACTATATTAATCCTTGCAATCCACGTGCTCTGTATGTGCATGTCCGGCCTGCTACCCCTTGGTCACTGCAGGAAATAGGATGATGGCATAATCTTGCTACCCCTAGGTTCACCGCAAGTAAAACCATGGCAAAGTACAGGATAACAGAGTTGTACTTTTACCCTTTCAGCAATGGAATGCTAGTCTGTCTCACATGAACTCTTTCAGCGATGGAATGTTAGTCAATATTAATCCTTGCAATCCATGTGCATGTCCGGCCTGCTACCCCTTGGTCACTGCAGGAGACAGGATGATGGCATAATCTTGCTACCCCTAGGGTCACCACAATTCACCACAAGTAAATCCATATGCTCTGTATGTGCATGCCCAGCCTGCTACCCCTTGGTCACTGCAGGAATCATGGTGATGGCATGATCTTGCTACCCCTAGGGTCACAGCAAGTTAGAACCCCCGGTCACTAAAGGGGTCTCTCCAGGGGATCTGAACATATTTGATTTTGGAGAAAAGTTCCTCAACCCCAGTGGATGGTATTCATAGTAAACACTGTCCAAAGGATTTCCATAGGAAAGTTAACCTCCACCCTTGTGACATCTTATCAGGTCCTCAGTGGAGGACCTGGATCAAAACGCTCTCTGCTGGGGTAATATGCTAGTCTGAAAAGAGCTGTACCGATCCTTGGACCATGTCGAACTGTATTCCCAGCTATACCCTGAACTGGGAGGGAGCAAGATGACTACAGCAGACCATCATCTTTCACCACGAAGATGTAAAAATAAGTGATGTGAGGCAAAGGATACATGGAAATAAGCATCCTGCAAATCTATAGACCTCATCCAATGTACTAGGAATTCTACCTTTATGAAGAAGAATGTTCAAGAATCCTGTAAATTTAGAATGGATCTCCAACACCTGTTAGAAACCGATTCTTTGTGTTCGAGTTGCCTTTTTAAAAATTCTCACAATAGCTTCCTCTAATTGAAGGTAAGCCATGAGATTTACAAAGCATCTCTTTTTACCTTTTCTCTTCATCTGGTAGAATAATGACCACTTACATCAAGGTTGAGATCTAGCACAGTCTCTTCCTGGTGTGAAATACCTTGGTCCGAGAAGTTAATGAGAATCTTTGCATAGAAAGGGTCTCCTGAACCTTAGGTCTTGAGGTAGACAAGCTTTCCTGACGTTCTCTTGATCCATTAATATAGGAGGATGCATCTGTGGACCAGGTACTAAGCCAAAGAGCCCGGCTAGTAGATCAAATGAGCGGATTCTGGAACTACTGAAATAGGCTGAATATCCTCATCTGATGATTCCATATCTCTGAATGGATCCATCTCCAAGGATTCCTAAGAGTATTCATTCTGGGAATTGTCCAGAGGACCTAAGTTTTAACAGCTTCTATGACGTCTTGAGATACCTCCTATTAATATTGCATAATACACGGGACATGGGTAGATGAGCCTGTAGCCACTTTCAGACAGTCTGTGCAGAGACTTTACTTTTACAAGGATCTCTTATCATATGCCTCACAAACAATTCTTTAGTGTGACTTCCCTTGTATGATCCGGGTTATTTTCTTCCCGTAGAGCTATCATTATAGGGAATTCCAATTATTGATAGGCTCTCTTTTGTTTAGTAATAACATAAAAAATAGAATGGCTTACCTATGACCTTTTTTCCGGGAGCAGAGGGATCTGAATCCATAACTGCCCTTTGCAAAGGGCCGTGTACTGGGGACTGACCAAGGGGCAAGGTAACTACCCTCAGGTAAGCCAAAAAATTTTTTTCTCTAGTCTTAGAATGACTAAGGCTGTCCTAGGGATAGGACAAGAACAAAAATACTGAGGATGGGAGGGGTTAATTATACCTTCTGTTTTAATTAGGTTCCTGTCTGGTTAGGGATAGGGAGGAACTACCCATTGTTGTGCTGCCTTGCATATGGCCAGGAAATACATGTATCTACTATAATGGTTTGAAGACCATAAGTCTTATCATAAAGTTATTAGTGTGTAGTATGCAATGTGTCTATGTTGTTTAGACTGAGGATAGACCAAACCGAAAAGCTTAACATAAACTTTGTGGTCCTAGTGACCCATAAGTGTATGGAAAGGTTAACATGACATAAGTATTCTGATAGTAAGTAGACTAAGTATAGTGGGGGAAAAAATTTTAATAATTAAAATTGACTAAGAAAAAGTGTGTGTGTATATATGGCAGACTAGCTGTTGGTGTGTGTATGAAAAGCTATGCAGAGAATATGGAGAACTTGATATAGGCAGTGTATGTTTTGTAAGTTATTAGAAAAGTGTACTTATTTAGTAGGGGTATGTTGTGATATACCCTAGATAATTGGATGTAAATATTTATTACAATATTTATTATAAAGAAAGGGGATGAAATTTTATATATGACATCATCAGGGTCAATTGTTTGACCCGAGCAGGCTGCTGGTCTGGTGCCCCTGGGATCACTCCTATCTTCAACCTGGGTAAGTTATGGGGATATTGGGGGTATATATTCTTATGGATTTGATTTGCAAGCTCATCCTGATGAAAGTCTGTGATACAGACTGAAACGTTGTTTTTTATTTCGAGCTAATAAAAGCTAAGTTTTATTCATTCTACTTGGAAGTCCCTGGAGTGCTATCTTGTACTTTTGGATATAGATATATATATATATATATATATATATATAATATATATCTATATATATATCTATATATCTCTATCTAGTGTGCCCAATTTTCTAAATACTTTCTTTAGTCCCTAGCCTTATCTTATGTTAGGATAGCCTTATATATATTAGAGTACATTTGCCATATATGAACTCAATTCTGAATAAATGGTGTGCAATTAAATTCTTTATTTAATCCAAGGGGAGCTAATGTCTGAAATGAATAAATCCATTTGGATTCTTTCTGTAATAAATGTTTGTTGAAATTCCCTTTTCTCGAGTTGGGCGTCAGTTTTTCGATTGCTTGAAAGTGTCGATTCTCAACTCGCCCATCATGAAAATTCTGGCTATTGGGGTTGGAGTGATATTTGTGATGGTGCCTACATTTTGGAGTATCCGACGTCGAAATTGCTGGATGGTTTTGCCAATGTGTTGAGCACCACAACTACGTGTTATGAGATATAGATATATATTGCGAGTGGTGCTGCAGTTGATTAATGCACTGGTGTGTGCCTTGATTTTAGATTGTGTAGATGTAACTGTAGTAGAGGGAGTAATGAACTTGCATGCCTTACAGTGCCCACATCTGAAAGTACCTTTTGGTTTTGGTGAGCCAGTTGGGTTTTGGGGGGATGCTTGCAAGATGACTATGTACAAGTAAGTTTTGAAGGTTAGGTGATCTCTGGGCAATAAGTGCCGGGCGATTAGTTAGCTGAGATTGAAGTATAGGATTGTGCAGCACTATAGGCCAATATTTTGTCATAATGTTAGACATAGTGGGCCAAGCACTGTCAAAAGTACTTATACATCTAAGTGTAGATGAATTTTCTGATCTCCTAGTAGACCTCAGGCTCAAGTATCTGTCTATCTGTATGGCTCTTTGATACGCTCTTTTTAGAACTCTTTTCGGGTAGTCTAGTGTTTTAAAGTGCTGTCTCAGGAGTTGACACTCCTGGTAGGTAAGGTCATCCGAACAATTTCTCCTTGCTCAGAGGTATTGCCCGAAAAGGGATGGAGGCTTTCAATTTGAAGGGATGATAGCTATTCCAATGAAGGAGACTATTCGTGGATGTTGGTTTTCTGTACAGTTGAATAGCGATTTGTTCCATCCTCCTATAACATGATCTTAAGATCCAAAATGATTAGTTCCTTGTCATTGACGTGTCAATTTTAAATTGATTTTGAGTTCTGTGACAAACTTTTCAAAAACTGGGATTGAACCAGTCCATATAAGCAGCATGTAATCAATGTATTTATACCATTTGTGGATGTAACTATGGTATGGACTATATTTGGAAGAATTGCTGCTCTCACCATCCCAAGGACAGGTTGGCATAAGTTGGGGCACATGCTGTCCCCATAGCGATGCCCCTGACTTGAAGGGAATATTTGCCATCAGAGATGAAGTAGGTGTGTGTGTGTGTGTGTGTGTGTGTGTGTGTGTGTGTGTGTGGACAAATGTCAATAATTCAAGAATAATTTTTTTTTTTGAAAGTTGTCATAAGATGAGGAGTCTAGAAAAAAAGTCTCAAGCTTGAAGGCCTTATTCAGTTGGTCTGTTTGAATACAGGGAAACCACATCAAGGCTAGCTAGAAGGGTATAATGAGGCACCTGTATATTTTCCAGAGCTAGTAGAGTGGCTTTGGTTTCTTGAAGGTAAGAGGTTAGTTTAGTGACCATAGGATGTAAGATCTTATCAATAAATCTACTGGCCCTTTCTGTAAGGCAGTTGTTGCCGGACCTAATGGGTCTGCCTGATGATCTTTGTGCTCCTTTGGCAAACCATAAAAGGTAGCAAAAGTAGGATTTTTGTGTGGCAGAAGATATTGGTATTCATTAGTGATGATTTGTTGTGATAGGGCTTTTGACAGTAAGAGATCTAATTCAGATAGGTATTTTAGGGTGGGATCTGATGTTAGTGCTGACATAGGTCGTCAAGGTGAGCCATGCACATTTTTACATAATTATCTCTTGATAGTATTACAATATTGCCACCTTTTGTCAGCAGGTTTAAAAATCACATTGTCAAGTTGTCTTAATTCCATGAGAGCTTTTCGTTCATTGATCGTAAGGTTATGATGACTGGGCGTTTCTACAGTCATACTTTAAAAACCATTGGTAGACATTTCCATATGAGGAGATCAATATGAGGAGTCTCTTTAAAGTTGGGAGTGTATCAACTCTGAGGTTTGTAATTAGTCAAGGGTCTCTTTGGATTTTGTTCCTGTAAGAGTTTGAGTTAATCAGGAGTTTGAGGTTTAGGCCCAACTCCATTGCTGTAAGAGAGTCCTTTTTTTTGGTGTGCATAATGTTCAAAGCTAGTTTTCTGCCAAATAAGTTCTTTGGTCGAATTAAATTTGCTGTATGAGGGTGTGGGGACAAATGATAAACCCCTACTCAACAGAAATAGTTGACGTGGCTGCAATACCAATTTTGACTATTTTGTTCAATGCTAGAATTTTCTAAATCAATCCTGGGTCTTGTATGCCCATCTGTCCCTCAGCCTCTCCCTCTGTTGTCGAGGGGGTTCCTGTTCTAAAAAAGGCTACAAGGATGTGGATGGAATACTTGTATTGTCTGTATCAGAGGAAATTGGTTTGTCAAGAAAGCATAGTGTTTTATCTGCATGTTTAAGGACACTTCTATTACCAGGAGATTGTGAAGTTTGCCTCTTGTGATAGGAACCTCTATTGGTAGTAGGTCTCTGTTAACCAGACGAGCTACTGTCAGTGTCTGACCATTCGGTCTCACCAGGAGAGCTCCTAAAGTTATTTTAGGTGACTTGACCCTAAAGACTTGACCCTCTTTGAAGTCTTTAAAATCCCTCTGGAATTTTGTGTGTGTTTTGACTTTGATGCTTTGTCTATAGTTTTCAATATTCTTTAGCAATTTAGTTTCCATAGGCACATACAGATTATCAGATTTAAAACTTTTAATCTGAGTAATTTCGTTTTGTAAATTGTGATTAGTATCTTCTAGGTGGGTAGATTCATTTTTGGATTCCAATACCTTGGTAAGCATGAGGTAGCAGCAATCAGGATGTGGCTTATTATAATTTTATCTGTTCTGCAAGTTCTGAGCTTAATAAACATCACAAATAGATCGATCTATTTTAACAATTATTAAGTCGTGGATCATTTTCCAGTATCTAGTTATTTTGGGACAATGCCACCATATGTGAGTCCACCATATATGAGCCATATTTCCCATACCCCCACAATCCCTCCAACACCGGTCAGAGTACATATTGTTCATATCATGCAGTCTAGACTGTTCCAGATATAAAATATAAAATTTTGTAATGGTTTTCGAAATGGTCAGTACAAAAAGAAATTCCTTTTAGAGCTTAAAGAAACTGAACCATTCCTCAAACTCACATTGTGTTCCTAACTCCGCATCCCATGATACCATATGTTTCAGTTTTTAACTTTAGATTTTGCGTTGTACAGCGAGTAACACATCGATATTATACCCCTTCTGTTTTGATCATATAAAAAAAACTTTTTCCAGTGCTGATATTTCTAATGACTTGAAACTTTTGCCAGTTTCTGATACTGTATATAATTCTTTTAATTTATTGATAATCAACATACGTTCAGATTTCGTCCACTTTCTTTATTCTTTAAAAAATATATATTTTTTTTATATTTTCTTGACAATACAAACCCGTATTAAACTATCAATGTTATATGCGCCCCATGTACATTGTAATAAATATTAACATCCCATTATTATATTAAAACAACCCCTACTAAATAAGTACACTTTTTCTGATCATTTACAAAACATACAATGCCTTTATCAAGTCCTTGATGTTCTCGGAGTAGCTTTTCATACACACCTCAACAGCTAGTTTGCCGTACATACGCACACTTTTGCTTAGTAAATTTTAATCATTTTATTTTTTCCACTATACTTAGTCTACTTCCTATCAGAATACTTATGTCATGTTAACCCTTCCATACCCTTATTGGTCACTGGGACCACTAAGTTTATGTTAAGCTTTTTTAGCTTTTCGGTTTGGTCTATCCTCCGTCTAAACAACATAGACACATTGCATACTAAACACTAATAACTTTATGATAAGACTTATTTTGGTCTTAAAAACCATTCTAGAAGATACATTTATATCTACTATACAAATCTACGTTAGACCAACTGTTAGACTAACTGAAATATAAATTTGACCATCTCCGTTCCCGTAATAAATTACTCGATATGACATCACCATCAATATTCCGGTTGACCAATCAGACCGAAGGGCTCCATATTTAAACTAAAAAGCCCGGGACCAGGGTTCCCCCTTGAAGAGCCACTGACCGGCAAAATGCGCGTCAGGGCTCAGTCAAAACCCCTACCCTGCTGACAGACACTGCCGATCTATATGGATATTATTTGATCATTTATATTCTTCCTATCTCAGAAATCTTATCAGAGAGGTCAGCAGGGAAAGGGTGAATTTACTTTACCTCTTTCTCTATAGATAGCAGCTATGAGGTTACATCTAATTTTCTATTAAACAGCTTATAGACATTGGGAGGTCTGAATGTTAGGTAGACTCCAAGCAGACTTCTAGGTACCCTCGAAGGCACAACCTTAGGGATAACTTATTGCAAAATTTTACCTTGGCTCTGCTCTACTTGATATTGTTAACCTGTGCACGAGGTACTTTATGCTCCTTCTGCCATCCACCTACCCTAATATTGCTCTATCTATATTCTCATAGTGTATTCGCTTTTGCTAATTTATGTATTGCTACTAGAGGGATACAGTCCCATGTTTTAGATGTTCAATGTTCTAGACATTTAGATGATAAACCCCCCTTCCACTCCCCCCCCCTGTCTGTGAGGTTCACCTAGTACCATCTTTTTCCTTGCTTTAAACAAGATATGTTGTAGCTGCACTGATTTTCGCTGCAGATTGCTATCTTGTTTCTTTGTCGTACTTCCTACTCTGGGACTTGGCTTACATGATTACTATTTTTCGTAACAAATATCTTTGATATAGCAAGTTAGCAGTATATATCTCTAGTTATATTCTAGTGACTTTACCACTTAGATTCCTTTTATTTATATAGCAATTGCACACAGCGAATTCTTTACTTATTTTATGTGGGGTTTTTTTTTCCCCGTGTGTTCCTGTGTCTCATAGTCACTGCTATTTTTATTGAACCCAATAATTGTTATATTTTAATAATTTTGCTTTATAAGTGATCACGTCTCCTTGTTTTTCTATTTACACTTCTGTAATGTGAATATAATATGTTGGTTTCCATTGTTTGTGCAGCTTTAGAGAACAGAGGAAGAATGTGCACGTTCTGCTTCCAAATCTTATCGCATGATAATTACAAAGTGCGCCTGAGACCGAAAATGAAAATAACACCACGCATTGAAAGACTTCTCCAGAAAGAAGCAAAAGATTACAGACTAAACCTAAAACAAACGAAGCTCCTCAATAAATATAAACTTTCTGAGAGTGTACTGGTAAGATTAAATAAAATAACAAGTTCAGTGTTGAATTCTGCCTGTACAGGTAGCCAGTTGCCCTTGTTAGTATTAGTTATTGTAGGAAATTGTTGTTTGTTATTTCTTCTTTCTTTTTAAAGGACCTCTGAAGACGTACAGGCCACTTCATCTCAATAAAGTGGTCTGGATGTTATGGTCCTGTCACTTTAACCATTCAACCTTGCATGGCTAAAGGGACACTATAGTCACCTGAACAACTTTAGCTTAATGAAACAGTTTTGGTGTATAGAACATGCCCCTTTTAGGAGTTAAATCCCTTTGTTTATGAACCTTAGTCACACCTCCCTGCATGTGACTTGCACTGCCTTCCATAAACACTTCCTGTAAAGAGAGCCCTATTTAGGCTTTCTTTATTGCAAGTTCTGTTTAATTAAGATTTTCTTATCCCCTGCTATGTTAATAGCTTGCTAGACCCTGCAAGAGCCTCCTGTATGTGATTAAAGTTCAATTTAGAGAGTGAGGTATAATTATTTAAGGTAAATTACATCTGTTTGAAAGTGAAACCAGTTTTTTTTTTTTGTTGTTTTTTTTTTCATGCAGGCTCTGTCAATCATAGCCAGGGGAGGTGTGGCTAGGGCTGCATAAATAGAAACAAAGTGATTTAACTCCTAAATGGCAGTGAATTGAGCAGTGAAATTGCAGGGGAATGATCTATACACTAAAACAGCTTTATTTAGCTAAAGTAATTTAGGTGACTATAGTGTTCCTTTAAATGTACCTTCAGTTACACTAACAGCCACTGGAGATAGAATAAAATGTGACGTTGCAGACCCCATAGGAAAGCTTTAATTTAATGTTTTCTTATAGGGAAGCTTGGATGCTTCAATGCTTGTCTATGGGGGACATCAGGTCCCTAGCGTTCCTCTATTAGAAACAGTAGATTAGACCATCGTGGGGGAGGCCATGCCTCCCTCATGCTGTTGTGGAAGGTGGAGGGGTAAGAAGTGGAGAGGGAGCCTCGGAGTTTGAACTAGATAAGTAAAAAGCTTTTTTTAACATTTTTGTTGTGCCTATATAACTAGGAACAAGGACACTAAAGCAATAGAAATAAATATTTTTGTTCTGTATTTTGTTTTACTACTGTATACACAGTGTATAATGCCCAATGTTTATTTATATATATATATATATATATATATATATAATTTTTTGTCCCTGTCCTCTTTCTCTCTTAATCTTTCTTGTATTCATCTCCCTTCCCTCTTACCGACTGATATTTTACCATTTACTGTATTCAAAATAGTTTTACATACACAGTGAGTTGTAATTTGAACGGATATGCAACACTATTCCACCATTTCCATTCTATGAAAACTCAGACATAAGTCTGCGTCGATAGGGTTTTCCTACCAGATCAATTTTCATTAAACTGACAACCCAACAATGCAATCAATGAAAACCACTGTACGCATATGTGTAGGTTATGTTCAAGGACACTTATTACCGGAGGAAAAATGTGTGGTTTTCACATTAGCCCATCTAACATGCCCTTATTTATTATGCCCTATTGATGTCACATGGAGTTCTTTTACTTCACTCTCATAACTTTTTTTTGTCCTGGTATATAATCAGTCAGTCTTTTTCATAATTACAAAAAATTTATGTATCGTTTGATTTTTTAACCATATACCTTCTTCAACATATGCCTCAATTTACTATTTTTGTATAAGCTTTTAAAATTATTTAATACTAAAAAAAGGTTATTTATATTTTTTTATATAATATATAATCTTTTATGTATTTTTCTGATCTGTTAAGGTTTCATCTTATTAGAGACCATGCCCTCACTAAGGAATAGGCAGAAGAAGCAGTGCATTGTTTTGCAAAAACTGTTTCTCTTTTTGAGTTGTCTAAATTAGTGGATCCAAATCACTGACGCAGGGCTGAGCAAAATGCATGTCAACAGATCTTGTAGAACAGCAATTGCCATGATATGTTGCCAGCCTTTGAAATAGCAAAGAACCATGGATGTTTCAGTTTTGCAACATTTGGAGATATACTTTTTGCCACCCATACTCTAACGTTATTATGTATTTATAATGCTAATATTTCTGCTGCACTCTCCCCGCCCCCCAACATGATAAAATAAAGATAAACTCGCCTCTCATCCAGCAACTTCACAGTTTTGTTGCGATCACCATTCAACTTTCTTAGGAAGCCATTTGGATAGATATCATCACACCAATCAAATGCTTCTCCATATAGAAGCATTGAGGACCTTGATATGCCAATTTGGTTTTCCCCAAGTAATATAGTAGTTCTCTATGGAGAGACTTCTTTAAATGTTTTTTAAATTTTTTTGTTAGGAAGTGCTACTCGTAACTTTTACACTAACTGACAAATGTAAACATTGCAGTCTCTCACAAACAGCAGTGTCTACATTTGCAGTGATCACATCTAGGCACCAAGACCATTATATTAAAAGGACATTCCAGGGCACCAATACAACTTTAATGTTTGTCCTAGCACCTGGGATTTGTAAGCTTGTTCAGCCCCTGAGGTGACCGGCTGCCTGAGAGCAGAGGCGGGCAGTTGGCTCATGGAGTGCAGAGGCAGGCAGCTGACAGGGAGGGGGTGGCCGGCTCATGTTTTGCTGGAGAGGGAGGCAGTGGCTGAGGGAGGTAGGGGAGCATCCAGCTCATGGATTGCTGAGGGAGGTGGGCGGCTCATGGAGAGCTGAGGGAGGGAAGCAGACAGCTAACTTAGTGCGGCGGTGAGGGAGGGACTAGTAATCTCCCTCGCGCGCCTTGTAGTAATGCCGGTGTTCTATCAGTCTGGTATACCCCGTCAGATTGCTATACCCACGTCACTTCCGGGGAGGGGAATCAGCTGGATCCTGTGCTGCACATGCATGCTAGCACTCCTGCTACTCCTCCACAGCAAGGTCCTGGAAGGTAAGTAAAACTAGTTTTACACTTTTATTATAGTTAGTGCATTCACTAAGCTTAGGCACATGGGACATTTAGGGTTAAGTGAGGGTACAAATTAGGGTTAGGTAAGTGCTTCTAACCTCTCTCACACTCTATTCTTACCCTAACCCTTGGGGTAAGGGTTAAAATAAAGTGTGAGAAATCACTATTTAGTGATATTCCCCTAAAGTGAAATATCACTAAATATGAACAAGTCCCTAATCCTAACCCTAATTTGAACCCTAACATTAACCCTAAATGTCCCATGTCCTAAGCTTAGTGAATGCACTAACTATAATGAAAGTGTAAAACTAGTTTTACTTACCTTCCAGGACCTTGCTGTGGAGGAGTAGCAGGAGTGCTAGCACGCATGTGCAGCACAGGATCCAGCTGATTCCCCTCCCCGGAAGTGACGTGGGTATAGCAATCTGACAGGGTATACCAGACTGATAGAACACCGGGAGCCGGGTTATGACTTCTCTCTGGAAGATGACAGCAGCCCCACTGGACCCCAGGGAAAGCCTATCTAGTCCAGCTCTCCAAAGGTAGGGAGACACGGTGGATTTAAATTAAAATAAAAAAGTAATTATTTGTGTGTGTGTATGTCGTTCAGTGAGTGTGTGTTCCCTCCAATCACATGGGAAAGGTGTTTTTACTCTCCTTTTGTCCCACACCGTGCTGGTGATCTTGACGATCTCAGCCAGTCCCCCATGGGAAAGCATTGTGAGACTATTGCGCATGCACTGCAAAATTCCACTACACCAATTTAACTTCTCGATAGAGATGCATTGAATCAATGCATCCCTACAGGGAACATTGCGAGTGCTGCACAGTGTGAAGGAAGCACCTCTAGGAGCCATTTGAGTGACTGTCAATAGATGTCACCAGGCAGCAATGTAAACACTGCCTTTGGCTGAAAAGTCAGTGTTGTACATTGAAAAGTGTTCAGGGATAGGATATAGACTTCAAAACAACTACATTAAGCTGTAGTGTTTCTGGTGACTATAGTGTTCCTTTAAGAATTGTATTTTTGGTGTTGATTTCTCTGGCTCCTAACTTTTCTAGCTGGCTCCAAGATTCAAAGCAAATTTGTCAAGCACTGGCATAAAGGATACACCAAAATAACTTAGGTCAAAGTTGGTTTGGTGCTTAGTGTCCCTTTTAAAGGACAACTGTCACCTAAAAACTATTTTCTTATTATGATCCGTTTCTTCAAGTTTTAAAAGAAATATATATTTATTTTTAATGAAGTTTCTGTAAAGAATGTGTGACATGTCATGATTCACTTTTATTCCAGAAGTTTGGTCCTTAAGGGGTTAAAGCGGTACTGTCATGCCGAGCTTACCGTTCCCTAATCGCTTTCTCTTATTTTGCTCTCTCGGGATCTTTTTTCTTTTTTCCTATGTGCTCTAGTTTTCTTTAAATAAAAAAATCCCAGGCACTCACTGCGAATTTTATGCAGGCAGATTTATTGCAACGTTTTGACCTGTCAAGGTCTTTATCAAGCTAACACCAAAGTGTAAAAATTGCACTTATATACACACAAGTTACAAACAAACAATCAATTAATTAGGTAATTAGGCAATTAGAAATTGCTTTAGACAAACAAGATGAACCAGGCGCTCACCCCGGGAACCTTTCAGTTGGCCGAATACACGGGGACACTAAACAGCGCACACCGAGCAAACATCAACTTCCGGCTCTGCGTTGTGACGTCATGAGTTAGCGACTCTGTACCTGTTGTGCTGGATGACTCTTGTTCCTGGGGGACCACTTCAATTACAGAGTATACTACATGCTACTACAGTAGAGAGCTGACTCATATGGCTCTCTAAAGTGTGAGTGCTCCTAATTATTTCCTATACCAGTAATTGGTTTATGCATATTGCCCTATGATAGCTGTCTATGTTGCAGAATATCTCATCTAGCATCCACTGTGTGCGCAAACCACCTTTTTCTGTATCCATTTGTATAAATGTAAGTGTTTTTAAAGGTGACTAAAACACTGGTTTGGTTTTAGACGCACTACTTATTTATTCTCTGTTTAGCGCCACTTATCCTATTGTTTGTGTTTAAACAAGTGTTATAAATAATACAATCAATAAATCAAGTGCCTCAAACTTTAAAAAGACCTGGTAAGGAATAAGAAGGTAAATGGCTGAAACACAGTCAAAGAAAAAAATAAGCAGTCCAGGTTTTACACAAAATCACATAAACTATTATATATACACAGATCTATTTAATAAATATAATTCAATTTTTACACTATGGTGTTAGCTTAACAAAGACCTTGACAGGTCGAAATGTTGCAATAAATCTGCCTGCATACAATTCGCAGTGAGTGCCTGGGATTTTTCTAGTTGTATATATTCTTTTGGTTTTTTTTGCTGACCCTTGCTCAGTAGCACCCTGGACTGAATTGCTGTGGCTGAGGGCGACCCTATCCCTTTTTTTCTATTACTAGTTTTCTTTAAAAAAAATACTACTTTGTCTTATGTATTTTTCCTACGCTAGTCCTGCTCTGACTCGCTTCCTGTAGGCCTACTTGCGGCATGGCCACAGGCTGCTCACTGTTTAGTAGACATGCCCTTACTCGTGGCATAGCGAGTGGGGGCAATCAGAAGATTTCAATCTCCCTTATGCTAATATTGGTGTCATATTGACCCCCATAGAGTGAGGAAGGACATGGGGGGAGGGTTAGAAGTGGTGGGGAGCACTGCTCCCTGCCGCTTCTATTTTTTATATATTAAAAGTAGGGAGATGTGTGCCTGTAGTTCCTTCCTTGTAATAAACTTAACGAACACCAGCATTTGGTGTTGGTTTGTTCATCTGACATTTCTATTCATTCATTCGTCTTTTTGACGAATGAATAGACGAAATTCCCGTCCAAATTTTGGACAATATCGAATGCCCCAGTGTTTAACTGGGCATATGCAGGAATTTCACAGCACTATCTAGTGTGGGCAGGTGACGTGTACCACAGGGCCTTCAACGGCCCTCACAAAGATGGCGGCACGCAGGACCTAGGTCCGGGCACAAAATAAAGATTTAAAAATGGGTAATATGGGGGGTTTAGGGGCATTTGGGGATGACTAGGGGTGGAAATTAGAAGTAGTGGAGTCTGGAGGGGGTTAAAAAAAAGAAATAAGCAGATGCGGCCATGACAGTGCCGCTTTAAGAGACACATTATTAGGGTTACCCACTAAAGTGAGAATTCAAAGTGAATTTCAAATTTAAAGGTTATTATAGTTGATCTGGAAACATTCTCTAAGTCAGCTATGCTTCCAGTCCAGCTACTTTGGCCTTAAATTTAAAATCCACAGGTTCTTACCTGGGATTCGGCTGGTGCCGCTCACCACCTCTATTTTCATTGCAAAGCTGGAAGTTAGCTTAGCTCGTTGGCTGAGATTGATCAGTGGGTTAGGCAGAAAGTTGCGCAAGCAGACCCCTGGTAAAAAAAAACAAATCGCTTAAAAACAGAGCTGTGGTGGTGATAGTGCTTGGAGTGTTCCTTTACATTAATTTGAGGAATTGTGTAACGCTGGATGTCCTTTTCTATGGGAACGGCCTAACACACGCCGCACAATAGGTCCCCTACCATCAGCTGTTGTCAGAATAGGTGGAGACGGATCCAGCGCCAAAGGACCTCGGCACTAGAGTCGGGTGAGTGAAAGAAACTGCTTTTAGTGCAAGGAGGTGGGGCAGAGGAGCATGATAGTGTTAGGAATACAAAGGTGTAATCCTAACATTTCACTGTTACTTTTTAGTGTTAAATTATGGTAGACATACAATTCGAATTGGTGTAAGCATTGGGTAACGGATGTGATTGGTATAGTGTTGATGTGTGAGTTGGCATAGGGTTAGCATTAACTACCAAAAATAAATTTAGATTCTAGACATATTAGGATTTAACAATCAGGACTAATATACAAATCTATTTTGAGTTATTTTTATTTAGTTACTGTTGATGTGTGGGGGGGGGGAAAGTGTGGGGGGAAAAAAAAATATTCTCTGTCCCTGTTTTTAACATTTTGTTCACATGTAATGTTAGGTATGCTTATAGTATATTAAATGAAAGTTATTTCTGTCCCTAAAAAAACAATTTATATGCATATGGGCACTTTAGGAGAAACCCTTAAATTATGACAGAACAAACCTAAAGCTCAAATTCAAGGTTTTGTTTTGGTTCCTAACTTGGACAATTGTCTCCTAAGTGGTTAACCCCACTGAGGACCGGTGACGGTCCTGAACCATCATAACAGAAAACGGACAGCGGGAGCGATCAGAGATCGATTACACCGAAATCCCGTTGTTACTATCTGCCCGGCATCCCAGTCAGATAGTAGCAGCCAATTATGGCATGTGAGCGATCTGCAATCGCTCACAATTGGCTGTCAAAGTGGGTGTTACACTCACTCACTTTGACCCTGATCTCTGCCCCTCTCTCCTCTGTAGCGTTTTGTGAGGCGAGAGAGACAGAGATCAGAGCTAATAGTTTGTTGCCCGTGTGAAAGAGTTGCTAGAAGTTCCAAAACCTGTTTAAAAAAAAAAAAAAAAAAAATTAACCCCTTACCTGCCAAGTCCTGTTACTGCAGTGCATTTGTACTGTTGGCAATTTTTATTTATTTTTTTGCCCTTAAGGGGTTTTTTGTTTTTTTTTGTGAAAAAGCTGTTTTACTGTTCTTCACTGTGTTTTACTGTGTTTTACTGTGTTTTATACTTGTTAGTTTTGTGTTAGGTAGTGTGTTGGTGAAGCATGCAGCGCATGTACAGCTTGGAGAAGGCATATGCCTTCTTGGCGTCAGACTCTGACGCCACTGACACTGCGTCTGATTTTGACCCAGGTCAGTTTTCTGACACGTCTTGTGACACATCATCTGTCTGTGAGCCGGCTGCAAAAAGAAGCTGTGCTTCCCCTGCTACGCCGAATGTGAAGGACTGGGTACCTCCACAGTTCGTTGAGCCCACGTCCCCCCTTTGGTGCCAACGCAGGCATTAATGTGAATGTGGATGACTTCTCCCCTATGCAATACAAGGAGCTATTTTTAAAGGATACCATCTGGTAGGGGATTGCTTCCCAGGCTAATTTATATGCCACTCAATTTCTTGATGCCAATCCATGTAGCTGTGTAGTCAGGGAGTATGCTTGGCATCCCACAAATTCTGGGCTCTTACAATGCTCATGGGGATAATAAAGAAGCCATCAATTCGCTCTTACTGGAGCACCAACCCAATCTGTTCTAGTCCAGTGTACTCCCAAACCATGTCCAGAACAAGATATGAGTTGGTGCTGAGATACTTACATTTCAAAGACAATACCTTCTGTCACCCCAGGGATCACCCCCAATATGATAGGCTTCATAAAATACGCCCACTGGTAGACCATCTTCAGCACAAATTTTCTGAAGTTTATACTCCCCAACAAAATGTATCTATTGATGAATCGCTTATGAAATAGGGAGATTAGGGTTCAAACAGTACATTCCCTCAAAGCGCGCTAGGTATGGTGTCAAATTTTGCAAGAGCGAAAGTGGCTTTACGTTTGCCTTTTGCGGATATGAGGGGAAAGATGGTCAACTGGACCCTCCTGGCTGTCCTGACTCTCTGGGGACAAGTGGGAAAATAGTTTGGGACCTACTGATCCCCTTGTTCAATAAAGGTTACCAATTTCTATAGTGGTGTCCGTTTGTTTAACCCCTAAAGGACACATGACATGTGTGACATGTCATGATTCCCTTTTATTCCAGAAGTTTGGTCCTTAAGGGGTTAAAACGCTTTATGATTTGCAGACACTGGCCTGCAGCACTGTGAGAAAAAAATCCAAAGATATCCCCAGACCTCTCATAGAGGCCAAATTAAAAAAAGGTGAATGCAAAGCTCTGTGCAAAGCTGAAGTGCTTGCAATTAAATTTAAGGACAGGAAGGATGTTAACATGCTAACCACTATCCATGACGAAAGCATGTCAGACGTCACTGTCCGAGGCAGAGTACATTCCAAACCTGTTTACATCAGGGCTTATAACAGGTACATGGGAGGTGTATATTTGGCTGATCAGCTCATGCAGCCATATCTTATTTTAAGAAAGACAAAAGCCTGGTATAAAAAGTTGTCTATCTATCTGATAACGATTCAGTGTGGTAGCAACCCACAATTCGTTTATTCTTTAAAAAAAAAAAATGAATCCTGGAAAAACCAGCTTTCTCCAGTTTCAACTTAAAGTGATTTCAACAATCATTTATGGAGATGCTTCCGTTGAAGTTCCAGCAACGGTGCCAGGGGAATCAAGAATTGGAGTTGCGCATTTTATTTTCAAGATCCCGCCAACTGCAAATAAGACAAATCACTAGAAACGTCTGTTATAAAAAAGGGAAAGGACAGACACCCCCTTTCACTGGACTGTGTATTGGAACATGTTTTAAGCTCTACCACACAGAACATACCTTTTTGTAAGACTAGTTCCTGAATATTTTTTTTGTTTATTTCTTTTGAAAGCTGAACATTTTAGTAAGTCCGTTTCCTTTCCCTAAATCTCCAGTTAGATTATTTTTGCAGGAGTTAGTTCAGAGATTGCTGCTAAAGGTGCATTTGATACCTGCACATTTGGTTAAAAAAGTTAGTTTTCTGACAGAAATCTAAAAGCAATGTGTGTATAAAAAAACAGAATTCAAAAATTACCACCACACACTTTCTCTGAATTTTTGGGGGCAAAATGGTTGGGGAAAAGAAGTCCAAACCTTATATGTGTACTTTATACAAATATATACTTTCAAACCATAAATTCACCTTGGGGGATGGAAAAATGCACCACACTCAACATGTGCCTAGCAAAGCAAGCAAACTATATTCAGCCAAAATGGGCAAGTCCAACATTTGTCACTGTAAAAAATTGTGGCAAACCAATGCAGGTGGTGGAGCGGGGGAGTGATATCAAAAAGTAGAATTCAAAAATTACCATGCAAGTTCTCTGAAATTATTTTAGCATAATGGTTAGGGAAAGGATGTTTTAAAACACCCCATATACAATACCCTGAAATGTCTACTTGATAAAAATATACTTTCATGATGGTAACTGGGGGATGCAAAAATACACCAAACTAAAGACAGGCCAAGCATGCCTATGTATCAAGTCTCTATCGTGGCCTTTTAGCCCCCAAACAACCCAGCAAACCTATGCATGGGTGGTATCACTGTACTCAGGAGGTGTTGCTGAAGACATATTGTGGTGGTGTTTTGCAGTGACACATAACAGAATCTGTTAATTTATGCCTAAAGTACAATGTGTATGGAAAAAACACTCAAAAAATTACTACCCAAAAGTTTGACCAGGGCTGGTGGTAAATTCTGTGCATGAAAAGTGTTAAAATACCAGCATTTGCACATATGCTTAGAGGACAATGTTACGACACGTACCGTCGGGTAAATGAAGCCGCCGTTTAGTCAATAATCCCCTTCTCCAGAAATGCAGTTTAAATCCAGCCGACCGCCAAACTCCCGAACGAAGTCCACGAACACGGCAACTCCCGATCAGCAAAACAGTCGAACGCCTTCCACAGCTAAAAATAACGAAAGCGCTGTCCCAGTAATAATTCCCCCACAAACGAGACCAAGCTCCGTGTTGAGGGTCAAATGAAGATCTGTTTAATGGGGGCTACCTGCCCGGTATTTATGCAGGTCTCCACAAGGTGGACACTCCCCGAGGGGACCTTGTGGAAGACTGTAAAATATGTTATACAGTAGCCAATCGCAGTGGCTTCAATAATAGCCCTTCCCATCTTGCCCATAATTCCGTCTTCTCTACCTCGGAGATAATTAGGAAGAAACCTAATTATCTCCCAAGGTAGAGACAGTCGCCATTTTACTTTACAATAATAAAAATACATTAAAATACATAACTGCAGAAATACCGAATGCATATAGTTCGTGTAACGTATCCCCAGACAGCCTGGATCTGAGTGCATGTTTTCACCGAATAGCGCTCAGATCTGATGTATCTAGTCGAATCGCCATGGAGTCAAAGTCTTTCACCAGTCCTTCGGTATACGAATGACTCCATGGGATGGCTGTCTGGGTAAAAGTCCATACGAATGAATAAAAACTCCCGAACGACCGACGTTCGCATGCCTTGTCGAAATGGAAGGTAGGCAGCAGCTTCCAGCGGTGTTCGGTAGTTTAAGTGTCCGTTTTTAGTTCCATACAGTTTGTACCGAACACCGCTATGTGTTCGTATGTCCCAAAATGGCCGCTGCCTCGTGGTCGACATGCGAACGACGACCACCCGTACGAATGGAATGGAGAGGTGTCTGCGGTTAACCACAACGTTCTAATTGGGGCCAAGAGGTTAACCAGCAGCACACTCCTCTCCTGGGTGGTCGTTCGTTCGGTAGTTTCAATCGGTAGTTTGCAAATTACACGAACGGGGTTATATGAACAGGCAATTCAGCGAACAAAGGGAAACAGACGAACCAGCAATACAGATGAATCTGTCACAGACAACAACAACCCGCACAAGTACACAGACTAAAACGGCAAGGAGGCACGTCCACACAACACCCGGAGGAAATCGCAAAGGAATTTCTCAATTATTAATCGTCCTTATACAACACACACAAACAAGGTGACCACGAACGCATCAAACTGGACCGCACAGAACACTTCCTAAGAGAACACCTCCATACAACTGTGACGGCCGCGGACGCAGAAACGCTCGATCACCGAAGACGAAATACGAACAGCCATCAAAACAACAAAAACAGGTCGCGCCCCAGACCCAGACGGACTGACCCTAGACTATTACAAACGACTCCAGGACATTCTAATCCCCAGGCTCACAAACGCCCTGAACGCAATCACGAACGGGACAGCATTCCACACTGAATCATTATCGGCTACGATCACAGTAATCGCAAAGCCAGGAAAGGACCCGGAGGCCTACAGCAGCTACAGACCCATATCCCTATTAAACATAGACACAAAACTTTTCACCAAGACTCTAGCCACCAGAATCCGCACTCTGATGCCAACTCTAGTGCAGCCCGACCAAACAGTATTCATACCGGAACGAGAGGCCCGAGATAGCACCCTACGGGTCCTCGACATACAACACCTAACGAGATGAAACAAAAGACCACTCCTCTTGCTCTCGATGGATGCCGAAGCTATACTGAGCTGGATCGGAGCAATATATAGCAACCCGACTGTAACAGTCCAAGTCAACGGAGTCCTTTCCGATCTGGAATGGCACTAGACAAGGGTGCCCCTGTCCCCACTACTATTCGCGTTAACATTAGAACCCCTACTAGAAGCGATAAGACGAAACATCAATATCATAGGATACACATGGAAAACCACCACACACAAGGTTGCTGCATACGCGGATGATATGTTATTCTTCATCACACAACCGAGAATCACCCTACCCTGTCTAATGAAAGAACTCGAAGACTACGGACGCCTGTCGGGCCTCAAACTCAACCTGAATAAATGCGAACTCTTCAACATAAATGACTTAATGAGAGAACACAGAGCTATAGCCTTGACCTTCCCCTTCCGGTGGTGTCAGTCCCAAATGAGATACCTAGGGATCTGGATAACAGTGGATCCAAGCTCCCTCTACCAAACAAACTTTGTCCTCTCCTTACTCCCATCCAGCAGGATCTATAGACCTGGAATTACCCACACATCACCTGGCTAGGCCGCATAGCGGTGATCAAAATGAATATATTACCCAGAATATTATACCTATTCCACACGATCCCCCTGTCGATACCGACGGTATTCTTCACATCTCTGAAAACCACATTCCTGACCTACATATGGAAAGGACACAAACCACGACTGCGATATGAACTCCTCTGCCAGACCAGAAGAAGCGGAGGATTAGCTGTCCCAGATCTACGGAACTACCATCATGAAACAGCCCTGCAACGGATCCTAGAATGGCACACGAACCCACGACACAAACAATGGGTGACCCTGGATAGAGACTCGTCCACCGGCCCAACCATCTTCACCACCGTATGGAACACGAAAACGACCGCACAGGACGAACTCAACAAACTCTCTCTCCCCGGCGAGTCAAACCCTTCGGACATGGGCGTCACTGCGGAAAACAATGAATGTCTCTCCCACACCTAGCCCAATGACCACGCTAACAGACAACCAACAACTAGGAGGAGGACTTCCGGCAAGGGCTTGGAGCTTCCTGGAAGGAGGGGACTTCATCTCACTCCACAAAACATTGACCGCCACCGGACTGGCACCGCTGGAACACACCGACTCCCATGCAAAGATACCGATACACACTACCAGATAGAGCCGCAATACACAGAACCCTCACGTGGTTCGAAGAAACCTGCGACCAAAAAACGACCATCCAGGAACCGACATCAACCCTCTACAAGTACCTGATCACGAACAACCAAAAGACAGCTCTGCCATATTAGAGACAATGGGAACACCTCACAGACAGGACATTCACAGACGCACAATGGGACCAAATTCTAATTCTCCATCACAAATCCTCAATTAGCACATCATACCAAGAAATGAATTACAAATTACTAACGTTCTGGTACAGAACCCCAGGCCTCCTACACAGAATATTTCCCAACGCCCCAGCGACGTGCTGGAGATGCGAGACTGACGTGGGCATAGTAAAACACATCTGGTGGGAATGCACCAAAATCAAACCATTCTGGAACCAGATTATAGCCCGTTTCAGGGATGTCCTAGGGGACGCGCCACAACTGACCATGGAAAATATACTCCTCCACCACACATAAGACTCGATCTCAAAATACAAAAGATCCATCCTACGCCACCTCCTTGATGCAGCCAAGGCACTCATCCCTACTCTCTGGAAATGAACACAAGTCCCTCAATGGAACAATGGCTAACCAGAGTGGAAGATATCAGAGCCGCAGAAGAAATGCATGCGACCCTGACAGACATTCTCTCAAAACACGTAAACAAATGGCAACCATGGATAATCTACATGGCAAGACGGGGCGTGGAAGGCGTGGCCGGGGGGAAGGAGACTGAGGGGGAGGACTTGCCCTACCCCACTCCACCCAACCTTCTACACAACACCACACACCAACTCCCACAAACGCCAACATCACACAGCACCCAAACGATACATAATCAACATATCTTAACACACACCCTCCCCAACACACACACAAGCACACACCCATACAGACACATGAATATCACCACACAACCACGATCAGTCTGACACGCCTAATAATGTACCCCACACAACACTGGAACGATCACCCCCGGGAAATAACCACACACTCGATAGGACCGCGCCAAGCCCACGAACCAGACAACCAGCATAACAGACATAACCTCACCAAACTCGGAGACTGAACGAACACACATACCTCAGACAACAACAAAATTTACACGACTGAACATATAAGAGGCCAACGCAGTACGTGAAGCAAAAGACTACAACCCATAGAAAAAGATAACACACACCCGAGCAACTGACACGAACATATGACATAAAGAGAACACCACGCAAGCACGCCTACCACCACTCATCACCTCAAATCGCCCCATCACGAGGGGATACAAATAACCCAAACACGACAAACCACACCTGGGAGGACCCACAAATTCTGACAAAACACCCTCAAGACGCCAACCACACCAACCCGAACCGAGATGCGAACGCCCCACTACCTGAAGACCCATAGGCACGAGGCATACACCAACCACCCACACCCCTAGACACATACGTCACATCAACAACTGAGGCAAAAGAAAAACAATAGACCGAAGACATGATCACCCTCTATACACCTTCGAGACCTCCACATATCACACAGGAAGAGTAATACCCCCGCACACTCATGGCAGACTATGAACTCTACTACCTGAAGTGACTAATTAATCAATATCAATACTTTACCTACATACGTAACAAACAAGAAATAAAAACTGAGCCTACTCTAGAACACACTGTAATAACATAGATAACCACATGAACAGAAACCAACCACATCCACATATACCACTAGAGAAACCACACCCCCTAACTGGGCGACCCACATACCCAGAAATCGAAACCTGACCATCATCAGAGGATAGCGAAACGAAACTCAGAAAAGACAGGTTTAACTCAAAGGGACCAGCGAGTCCAATGCATGCTATATATATAATGACTAAATGTTTCCACAGTTTTTGGAGGCCTGCGAGCCTCGCTGTTTAAAAAGTTAAATTGTTACACGCTAATACTGTCATGCACAAAACCAGCAAAAAGCAAGGAAAACCGTACCTACATGAAAATATGTTGGACAACTGCACATGCAGATACAAATCATAGTCACATAGCTCAATGAGGGCACTCCATCCCATATAAAACCACTGCACATGCACAGGCGGACACACCTTGTTATTAATAAGGGTCCACGAAATATGACCCGAAAATGTCATGCCTAACTCAAGCGGACCTGCGAGTCCAACGCATGCTTCTTAAACGTACCACTAATTCCTAACATTCTTGGAGGCCTGCACGCCTCACTGTTTGGATTGCTCAATTGTTCTGTGAAACTGCTATACTGAAAACAATAAAAATCACACTTACGTAAAATACCAGCATTTAAAATACCCTGGGTTGTCTGCTTTTAAAAAATATATGGTTTGATGGGGGTAAAATACATTGACCGGCTTAAATGTCCCAAATAGTAGATGGGTGCAGATTGACTACATGTCAAAATTCCAAGTTGGAAAATGGATATGCGCACCTGCCAAATGTGGCCTTTTAGCCCCCTGACAAGCCTATGCATGGGTGGTATCCCTGTACTCGGGAGATGTTGCTGAACACATATTAGTGTGTTTTTTGGTAACAACACATTGCAATTCAGGTATAAATTCACAGATCATGTAATGTATGTGAAAAAAAAAAGTTAACTACCTATGCGAAGTTTGGCAAAGATTGGTGGTAAAATGGCTGCATAGTAAGTGTCAAAATTTCCTTAGATAAATACCCTGGGTTGTCTTCTTTAAAAAAAAAAAACGTGCATGTGGGGTGTTTTTCTAAAACTTATGACAGATAACAACAGTGTTACAATATCACTATTGATACATTTAAAAAATGTATATTTTGAAAAAGCAATGTCCTACTTGTACTTATAGCCCTATAACTTGCAAAAAAAGCATGTAAACGTTGGGCGTTTTTAAACTCAGGACAAAATGTTTAATCTATTTAGCAGTTTTTTTTCATTAGCTTTTGTAGATGAGTAAAAGATTTTTCAAGTAAAAGTAAAAAAAACTTTAATTATATGACATGATAGAAATAATGGTATGTAAAGAAAGCCCTTTTAGTCCTGAAAAAAACAATATATAAATTACAGCTGAACACAAACACCACAAAAGTGTTAAAACAGCTCTGGTCCTTAACGTACAACATGGCCAAAATAGGCCGGTCCTTAAGGGGTTAATTACAAGTATGTTTAAACTGGTTTGTTATGAAATTTAGACCAATTAATCTTCTGTGGCACAGTATTTGTTATAATGTATGTCACTTGTAAAAAGTGTTTGCACATAATTAACAATATATGTTGGCAGTGCATCTCTCACTTGCATAACTCCTGAATTAATTATGAAACAAGAGTATATTGACAGTAACTGGCCTTCACTCTGAGTAGGAATTGAACTTCCCTTATATTGATATTCTGGGATGTCACCGCATGAATGTGATATAAAGGACTGTTTTTTTTCTAAACCATAAATCAGAACAACTTGAACACCGAATTGATTTGTCTGTATCTCTTTCATGAATCATGGCTGCGTTTACATCGGTAAGAAAGATTTATTGTAAATGAATACAGGGCAGTGCGAGTTTATAAATATTTGGAAGCATTCAATAATCTATGCATTATTAGAATTAATATCAATTTATATCTGCCTAAATAGTATCCATGCTACCTAGGAGTAAGTTATTCTAGATCCTGTAGAAATGATTTAGTATTTGAATAAATTTCATAATTGTCCACAAAAATTTAATTTTCTACTTATAAATAATCATGTTTTCACTGATCTTTTCTTGTGTGTTATATATTTCATTACAATTTAATTTGCTTTTAGGTAATGTTTTTTTCATCTAATGCCTTCCTTGCTACAAACGGGAATAATTTTATATTTTGTACCCAAATTAAGTTGGCAACCATGTATCATTTAAATGGTTTTTTTTTGTAGTACAGTTATAGTGTATATTAGTATATGTATTTTCAAATAGTAATAAAATAGTGTTGCATAAAACACAATGGTGTGTGTGTGTGTGTGTGTGTGTGTGTGTGTGTGTGTGTGTAAATCAAATGTATTTCATCACAATATGTGGCAGCATAGCTTTGAAGTACTAGTTGAAGAAATTATTTTATACAAGTAGCAATTTATTCTAAATAAAGCAATACTGTTTATGTAACAGGGTTGCAAAACCCATGACACCCTTGTATAGTCCTAAGAATTGAACATGAAATGCGTTCATGATACAATTCTGTTACTGCATGCTATAATGTCCCTGTCTCTTTTTGTTTTCAGGTCATCCCCCTCCTCCCATGTGCATTAAAACAAAAACAAAAAATGTTTTTTTAACTTATCTTTTTTCCAGTGCCAAGGCTTCCTTGGCAGTGCTTACCTCTCTCCACCTCCTGCAACATCACTGCTGATATCTAATCCAGTTCTCCTCATAGAGGACTTAATGCTGTGCACACAGTCAAACATCCTGATGGGAAGTTATTTGAACCTGAAGTGAATGACATTCAAATAGTTGTTGTTGTTAACTGATCAGATTACAGTTGTTTGTTTAAGAAATGTGTTCATTACCTGCAAAAGCGTGGTTCATTTAAAAAAAAAAAAAAAAAGTCAGCTGCCTGACAACAGGAATTAATTTGCATCTTCCAGTGAACTGTAGAGGACTGGGATCATTCACCTGAAAAGTATTATAATGTAATTTATTATACATTGAGATGGTAAGATCACCACCTCCTTGTTACTGTAAGTTGAAAACTTGTCTTGAATTTGCTCATTCATTCACTATAATATTTTGGTACTTTATAAATAATACATGTACACTTGTCTGACATGCTAATTGACACCATTTTGTTTAGTCGTGCATTTATTCATATATATATTTATTTCAGGTAGTTACATGCAACACATGCAAAAAAAATTCAAAATTTCCTGGGGAGAGTCGAAGTAGTCTTGCTAACAGTCCTGGCACTCCCAAGATTAAGCGTGGTTCTGCAACTTTGGATCTGAGAACCCCAAGTTCCGTTAGAAAGGCAAACTTATCTTACAGTGAAGAGAAGCTCAGCTCTACAGGCAAGAGTCCTGTAATAACTCCCAGGTAAATCAAATCTGATTCTGTAAACTTTTGTAATCCTGGTAAAAATTGTACAATTCTGTAAGTCATGTAGATTCTGTGCTATGAATGGCCAACATGTTTCACCACTTAAATTCTTTCTTTGATGCTCACGAGTTTAAGGTAAATGTATTTTTTATTAAGTGCATTGAACTAATCTATTACATTAACCCCAGCATGACCTTTGTTTAATAGAGCAAAATGTTTGGAGGCAGACACAATCTAATTTTTTCTTTAGGTTTGCAGAAATGAAAACTCCACTTAAAATTAAATAATGCTGTTCATATATTATATATTATATTTTACAAAATAATGCACGTAAGGTTAGAATTACTTTTGGTTTAGAATGAGATTTGGGGGTTGCTCTTAGATCTATCCTTAACCCTGAGGGAGGCAATTTAGGAATAAAGGAGCAGAAATAAAGGTCCAGTATATGCACCAAGACCACTTAATCGCATTCAAGTTGTCTGGGCTGTCTTTCTCTGCAACAACAGAGGGGAAACTCATGTGAGGGAACGTGATGTGACTAAATGCACCTCAATTCTTTCCTATGGGAAATATTTGATTGGATGCATGTGTGGAGCTTGTGCACCTTGTCCCCAATGCTCTTCTGTAAGCATTGGATTGGAAGTTCTTTGTGGAAGCAACACCTTGCAGGACAAGGCAGTAGCACTAGCAGTAGGAAAAGTAATTTTTAATGCAGATAGGGGGAATGTGGACGTGGCTAAATCTAATTGAGGACCAGGGTAGCATAGAATTTGAAACACAAGTGTGTGTTCCTAGTGAAAAGTAGTGTCACCGACAGATTCTCGAGATCTCCTAACCGACAAGATAAGTCAATTTAGTTTTTTGTTTTTTTTTGTATTCTGCAATCAAAATTCCTGGGATAGCCATTTATTCCTTCTTAAAGGGACACAACACACACTTACAGCACAAATCCAGAGTGGAGCTAAACTGAAGAGGCAGACAATTGCACAGAACACCCAGCTTGCCAAGACTACTCATTGAGTTGCAATGGGAAGTCTGTGATTAGACAACTACAAAAAGTCTGGGCTGGGGAAGAACAGGGGCTTGCAAAAGCTGCAGATGAGTACTGCATCTTTTGCAAGCTGTTTTTTGCATACTCCCAATGGGGGAAAATGCATGCATGTTTTCATTTGGGGTATATCTAGTAAATTTGTTAAAAAAAAAAAAATTCTTCCATTGCGGTGTTCCTATAACCCGTGTCCAAGTCTATCTTGAAATAAAGCAAGAGCACTGACGTGGCAACAGTCGGCATCATATGTAAATTCCATAGGAGCTGCTCAGGAGTATAACAAAGCTATTGGAATTGCTAGTGAAATCAAAGCACCGATTGCAAAGTTTCATGTGCACTTTTTAAAAGAATTATTGGTCATTTTAAGTCACTCTATATGGAAAAGAGTAGTAAGATAGTGTGTGCCTGGTTTATGCTGGTGTTTTTTTGTTTTTTTGTTTTTTTTCTTCTATTTGCATTTGTGTACTACATTCTGCACCCTTTTAGTTCTAATTTAATGCGATGTAATAGAATCCATGCAAGCTGTTAGGTGTCTGTAGTCCCTACATGTCTTGAGATAAAAAAAACAATAATAATAATAATCTTGATCACAAATATGCAGCCCTAGTAGAACACATTTAGTACAACTGACCAATTTCCAATCCTGTTACACTGTTGAATGACACAAGTGAATTTCAAATTTAAAGGAACACTAGAGCATTAGGAAAACAAAACTGCAGGAGGACACTAGCGTTAGGAATACAGTCAACATTATGTCTGACACTTCCCACCCAGTGATGAAAGGGTTTAAAAAAAAAAAAAAAAAAGTTTTAAATTCTGTTACCTTATTCCAGCACAATGGGTCAACCTTATGCGCATGTGTGGCAAGTGCCGTGCACACATTAGGCCCTCCTATATGAACGCACCAAATCAATGCTTTACTATGGGGTCTTGAAGACACTGGATGTTCTCATGCAAATGTTTGACATTGCAGGGTAAAGGGTAAAAGGAAAACTGTAGTACTAAGAATACAAAGTTGTACTTCTATCACAATAGTGCCCTATAGTCTCCACCTCCCCCCTTTGGCACAAACCTAAAGAGTTACAAACCCTTTAATAATTTGCCCAATTCCAGCGCTGATGTCATCTCTCAATGCTGGGTCATTCTCCTCCTCCGTTATCAGATGGGGAGATCTAATGCATATTAGCGGCAAGCACCACATGTGCATTAGGCCTTCTCCATAGGAAAGCATGGCCTCATTGCTTTTCTATGGGGTTTTCTCTAAAGCTGGACGTCCTTGTGCAGAGCGTGAGGGTGTTCAGTGTAATTTTAATAGTCAAACTCCATGAAACTTTAGGAAGTGCTTCTAGTGGCGGTCTGGTTGACAGCCACTAGATGCAGGCTTTGTACTCATTGCAGTTTCTCAAATATTGCATTTAAAAAAATAAAAATAAATTTTTTTTTACATTGCAGGACTAAAGGACACTGCACCCATACTACTTCCATGAGATGAAGTATTCGGGGGGCTTGTAGTTTCACTTTAAGTCATTCATGCTTCCAGTTCAGCTGCTATGGCTTATATTTGAAATTCACTTTGAACTCCCTTTCATTTTGAAAACATGTGCCGTGATTAGAAATGTAAAAAAAAATGTTTTCATGTAAAACACTTTTAAGCTTGATGTGGCATATTTAATATGTCTGCGTTAATGTGCATGTTTGTGTTTTATTTTTTTGTGTATTCAGGTTCTGTGCTTCTGCACAGTCTTCACCAGCCTCTCTACCAAAATCTGTGAAAAAAGGAAAATTCAAGTTCTCAAGATTAAAAATGATTTTAAGTCAAGAGACAAAAGAAATACCTAAAAAGGCAGATTTACAGAACTTCCTTTCATCACTCAGCTAATAAATACTATTTGTGTTTCTTTGTGGAGCTTATATGTATGTACAATGGGCTTTATTATATAAGAATTATTCTAGTATTATCTTGCACAAGTATAAACAGTTATTTTTTAATCAAGTGTTAATAAATTAAATGTGGATTAATGAGTTTTTTTTTAATGTATATTGAATGTATTAACAACAGATCTAATTTGATGGCATCTGTAATGATTAAATGCTGTCTCATTTGTCTCATAGCCCTGCGCTATAATCTCACTACTCTTTGGCAGCAGCAATGGTATTCTGTAAAAAAGAAAAAGGAAAAAAAAATTTCATTTCGTAGGGCTTTGTAATTGAAAAAATATCAGCATAACAGTTATTTAAAGCAAGGAATGCATAGCTAGCATATAAATAGAGGCGTCAGTAGAAACCACGGGGTCCTGGTGTGAAAATTGCCCTGCCCCCCCCATACATCTACCTCCTACCCCACACATGCAGACAAACAAATACACATGCAGACACATACAGACACACACAGTGACACATTCAGACACATACACACACTCAGACACACATACAAATTACTACTATTAAATGTCCACCCAGCCTCTCTACCTGGAGAGCTGGCGTGGATCTGTCCAGTGGGGCTTCAGTGTGGCAGGCTGCAGAGTTCATGTCAGACGTGGTGAGGGAGCTGTGTTCTCTCTGCTCTGCTCCCTCGCGGGCTGTCTACTGATGTCGGGAGCCGGAATATGACGTCATTCCAGCACCCGGTATCGGCAAACGGCACGCAAGTGAGCAGAGCGATTAGAGCTTCCTCACCACGTCTGACAGGAACTCTGCCGCCCGCCAGAGGGGTCCATTATGTGGCCAGCGGGCCCCCTATGACAGGGGGAACACGGAGGGGGCAGTATCTAGGCGGCCCATGGTCACAGGGGTCGTGGTTGCGCCCAGGCCCCCTCCAGTGAGGGGCCCGGTTGCAGCCGCGACCATGGTAGGTATGCCACTGCATATAAACATATGACACGGGAATTGTGTGTATAGATTGGTTTGCAGATAAACTTAAAAGTATAACAATTTACACTTTTTATTTTTTCCTTATTTGTTAATCATTTATAAAAAGAGAAATTTAAAGCTTGAGACAGTATACACAGTCTGAAATGTTTGTATAAAAGCAAAAATGCAAACCTCTCACGTACCGTAGGCGTGACAAAAATATGTAAATAAAGATGGTCAAAATCTTTGCTTACAGGTATATGTATGGACCCTGAAGCTTTTACTAGCAGTACAGCTTACTGACCCTGGCAACAGAATGCAAAAAGAATGTCTGCATTTAAGTATAATGCCCACATAGAGTTAAATAATATATTTCTAAAATAAAGCAATTTAAAACTGCTATAGCAATCTTGTTCAATCTCTCTTAAAGATTATATAATGCTGAAGGTGAAATGGTAGAGTCCATTCACTCCTTCCCCCTCCCTGTCTAAGGATAGTATCACTTGGTGAAACTTCCTGTACTATTTGAAAGCAGGGAGTGAGCATTACATACATTATATCATTGACTAGTGGCTTCTAGCAGAGAAGTTTGTTCCTCTGTAGGCTGGTAATCCTAACTAGAGAATTAATGAAGGTGTTAAAAAAAAACAATAATAATAATCCTGATCACAAATATGCAGCCCTAGTAGAACACATTTAGTACAACTGACCAAATTCCAATCCTGTTACACTGTTGAATGACACAAGTGAATTTCAAATTTAGACCTTTATGGACTAAATTTCATACTGCAAAACACAATTAAAAACGTTTATATTCGATTCTGATATTAAAGGGGTTTAAGAAGGCTAAACTCTGATTTAAAATATATGTATATATTAATTAAAGGTTTATATAGGAAACGCCGAACCTGAAGTTGTTGAAGGGATTACCCATTCTATAAAAACACAGGCCGCCCCTTCCTCTAGGCCTACACTGCCTGGTTCAGTGCAGAACCATCTACTTTTGGTTCAAAGGTCATCAACACCAACTACCTAAACTCCAGACAATCTGGTCTTGGCTTTGTGTGTCCCACGCAAGTATTCATTTTACCTAGTAAAAAAAAAAACTGCTGTTTTCCTCAAAGTTCATGGGGCGCTGCTGCGGCTTTTCCTGTTGCTGTTCGCGCTGTTTCACAACAAAAATTTAAGTTTTTAGTTCAAGCCGTGCTGTCACTGACATTCAACACGTATTCTGTCCACATTCATTTTTTTTATTAACTAGGGTGGCATTCACAGTTCAATTCAAACTCTGACCTCATTTGGATCCCGTGAATTTCACTAATAATGCAAATACGGCCTATTTTCAATCCTGCATAACATCACATTGATACCTCTATTTGGTTCATGTATTCTGCTTGCTGTATTCGTCCATCATTCTGCCATATCATATGCAATTCAGTTAGTCACCCTACATTTGTATACACCCACAATGTATAATAAATTCTGTGACCTATTCAGTTTTTCATATTTGCTTATTATTGGCGGCCTCCATTATACTTGTCAGCTTTGTGAAAGTCAGCATTTATTACTTATGTTCACCAGGCCTCTTTCAGCCTCAGAACCTTTATGTATTCTGTATTTCTGCCCTCTGGGTATTCATGCACTCATTGGGCCTACATTGTTTAGTGATTATGTGGATAGGTGTTGCAACTGACAGTCTAAATTTCTCAAGCTCATACTTGGGCCTATACAGATGATTAGCATTTATGATAACATAAATGTTAACAATTTGTCTTCTTTCACTGTCCATCACTACTTACGTTGTTTTAACCCTTTCTGGGTTCTGCAAAAGTCTAGTCAATCTTACTTTTTAAAAATTGTTGGTCATAATGATGTTTGTTCTATGGTTGTAAGGCAATATATACAGCCATCATGTAAGTATGTTATTTTCACACTTCAAATTAAGACATGCCATGAACCTGGTCCACCACTTGGGTGTCACTAATAACCATACTAAATTGCAACCAGTCTTCTCCGGTATCAACATTTATGAAACCCCATTTAATTGTATATTTCTATCGTAACTTCTCATTTAGCCATCCTGCATCTCTGTATAATTACGTTGGGCCCTAATTTGGCCTATCACACACATACTCATTCTGTCCTAACTAGGCCCTAATTTGGCCTATCACACACATATTCTGTCCTAACTCATTCTGCCCTTACCTTTACAAATGAAACAGATCAAACATCAAGACATCACTACTGTCCATATGCAATTCACAGTTAATTTGACTCTTACAATCCTGGTACGATTGACCTACATTTGTTCATGCCATAATCCATACATTTCATACAGCCTATCATTCACCCAGCAGTTTAAGACTTCCATCTGGCACTCTTGGCCTTCCGCTGCAATACATCTACATGCAGTACTCCCTAGGCCTTCACTCCATTTGTTACATACAGCCTCCACGGGCAATCCACACAATTTCTGGGAACCCTCATTTAGGCAATTACATACAACATTTACAGCTTTACAAGGGTCACCTACAACACTATCATACTTGAATTTACTATTCCTCTTGGCCTCTTTAGTCCCATGCTATTTCTTACTACACAACCCAATCTCTGTACTACTGAGAACTAACAAACCTTCTACACATTTAACCATATTCATGCCTCATCAGTCTTTCACTGTTTTATCAAAGTATCATATAATACGCCTGTCACAGGCACTTACTAGATCTCACATTTTACATTTCCTGATTGTAAACTAGAGATGTTCCCATCTTTCTCATACAAACTTCAGGTCCTTCTAGTGCAGGGGTGGGGAACCTTTGGCCCTCCAGATGTTTTGAACTACATCTCCCATAAAGCTCTTACAGCCATAATGCACGGAGATGTAGTCCAAAACATCTGGAGGGCCGAAGGTTCCCCACCCCTGTTCTAGCACAGTGAGAACTCATACCTAGATGCAGCATTATTTTGTGTCTCTCTTTCCTAGCTATAGTGATTGACCTGGGGTTGTGCTCATAATCATAAGCTCCCTTATTATATAGGTTTCGACTACCCCTTCTTATTATCTTGTTGTTGACGTTTTAATTGTTAACCACCACACAGGTACGTTATACCCGGATATCAATTAACACTTACACCATTCTGGACATATTCCCACTAGCGTTCCCATTGTGTCATTAGGTTCCTTGCTATGATATTCCTTTCTCAAGCTAAACCACACACTAGTTGGGCAAGAAACATACGTACATAAAAATACTTTCTATCAAGTCACTACATTTCTATTCCCCTACATTCCTTAAGGATAGATCAACTGGATGTAAAGGATATTGGTGTAGGTCATATACTAGTATATTTGTAATTAAGTCCCACAAGATGAACTCCCATCCTCACGCAGAGATATACAGTATCTCACAAAAGTGAGTACACCCCTCGCATGTTTGTAAATATTTTACATCTTTCATGTGACAACACTGAAGAAATTACACTCTGCTACAATGTAAAGTAATAAGTGTACAGCCTGTGTAACAGTGTAAATTTGCTGTCTCCTCAAAATAACTCAACACACAGTCATTAATGTCTAACCCGTTGGCAACAAAAGTGAGTACACCCCAAAGTGTCAATATTTTGTATGGCCACCATTATTTTCCAGCACTGCCTTAACCCTCATGGGCACGGAGTTCACCAGAGCTTCACAGGTTGGCACTAGAGTCCTCTTTCACTCCTCCATGACGATATCACGGAGCTGTAGGATGTTAGAGACCTTACACTCCCCCACCTTCTGTTTGAAGATGCTCAATAGGGTTTAGGTCTGGATGCATTATTGGCCAGTCTATGCACTATGTAAGCCGCCAGTTGATGCAGGGTTACGCTATCACCAGCATGGTTGTCACATATACTCTTCATCGCAGTTTGTCTCATACCTTGGAAAGTATGATAACAGCAAAATGGAGAAGTTGGAATCCTCCCACAGAGTACGCTACTTCATACCTCTTACTGCCATCCTCTCAAGGTAACCAGTTACAACCCAGCTCGTTCCCTCTTCTCACATTAATACACCAGCACATATCAATTAGGAAGGCAATACTGGAAGGCTAAGATATCAATTTATAGTAAAGACAAATAGAATGTGCAGTATAGGGTCTGTGAAAACAATCTAAAAAGCTCTGCAACACCTTGGGTGGAATACCGATAAACCCCTAACCCTACTCCTAACCATACACCTTACCTTAACCCTACTCCTAACCCTACCCTACTCCTAACCCAACCCTGGGAGTATGGTTAGGGTTGGGTTAGGAGTAGGGTTAGGGTACCTCTACCCCTAACCCTACTCCTAACCTTATACCTAAACCTAACCTTACTCCTAACCCTGCCCCTAACCCTACTCTTAACCCTAACCCTCCTCCTAACCCAATCCTAACCCTACTCCTAACCGTACCCCAACTCTAACCCTACCCTACTCCTAATTTAACCCTACTCCTAATCCTAACCCAACCCTAACCCTACTCCTAACCCAACCCTTACCCTAAGTGCCGAAGTCCCAAATTTCGGAAGTGCTGAACTGAACCAAACCAAAGTGTCGAATTGCTGAAGTCCTGAATTTGTTGTTGAATGGGTAAGGCAGTGGCTGAGTGACAGGCAACAGAGGGTTGTAATTAATGGAATATATTCGAAGCTTGGACTTGTCACCAGTGGGGTACTTCAGGGATCTGCACTTGGACCCATTCTCTTTAATATTTTTATTAGTGATATTGCAGAAGGTCTTGATGGTAAGGTATGTCTTTTTGCTGATGATACTAAGATATGTAACAGGGTTGATGTTCCAGGAGGGATAAGCCAAATGACAAATGATTTAGGTAAACTAGAAAAATGGTCAGAATTGTGGCAACTGACATTTAATGTGGATAAGTGCAAGATAATGCATCTTGGACGTAAAAACCCAAGGGCAGAGTACAGAATATTTGATAGAGTCCTAACCTCAACAACTGAGGAAAGGGATTTAGGGGTGATTATTTCTGATGACTTAAAGGTAGGCAGACAATGTAATAGAGCAGCAGGAAATGCTAGCAGAATGCTTGATTGTATAGGGAGAGGTATTAGCAGTAGAAAGAGGGAAGTGCTCATGCCATTGTACAGAACACTGGTGAGACCTCACTTGGAGTATTGTACACAGTACTGGAGACCGTATCTTCAGAAGGATATTGATACCTTAGAGAGGGTTCAGAGAAGGGCTACTAAACTGGTTCATGGATTGCGGGATAAAACTTACCAGGAAAGGTTAAAGGATCTTAACATGTATAGCTTGGAGGAAAGACGAGACAGGGGATATGATAGAAACATTTAAATATATAAAGGGAATCAACACAGTAATGGAGGAGACTATATTTAAAAGAAGAAAAACTACCACAACAAGAGGACATAGTCTTAAATTATAGGGACAAAGGTTTAAAAATAATATCAGGAAGTATTACTTTACTGAGAAGGTAGTGGATGCATGGAATAGGTTAACACAGTAAAGGAGTTTAAGCATGCGTGGGATAGGCATAAGGCTATAACTATAAGATAAGGCTAGGGACTAATGAAAGTATTTAGAAAATTGGGCAGACTAGATGGGCCGAATGGTTCTTATCTGCCGTCACATTCTATGTTTCTATGATGCTGAAATAGCTTTTGATAGGGTTAACTGGAGATTCCTAGATAGAGTATTAGAAAAATTTGGTTTTCAACGTCCCTTTAAGGACAAAATTATGTTGCTATACTCAGAACCATGTGAAAAAATTATAAATCCCTCTTTTGAATCGGCCTTATTTCTAATTAATAATGGTAAAAGGCAAGGATGTCCACTGGCCCCATTATTATATATCTTGTATATATCTTGGCCATTAGCCATTATGATTAGGAAAAATAAGAAAATACATGGGATCCAATGGATTGATCGAGATTATAAAATATCCTTATTTGCTGACGATGTGCTTCTGACCCTTTTGAAGCCCTTAACTTTAATCACTGAGGTTCTGAAAGTCATTGAACTATGTGGAAAAATATCTAATTATAAATATAAATCTAAAGAAAACTGAAATTTTGGTGTCAAACATAGATGAGAATTAATTATTTCTTCTTAAATCAAATTTTCACTCGTATTGGAATCAAGACTACATTGAATAACTAGGTATTAAATTATGCTTTACTATTCCAAATCTGATCCAACACAACTATGAAGATTTGTATAGTTCAGTTCGAAAACAGTTAAATATTTGGAGCAAAACCGAGATCTCTTGGCTGGGGCGTTTCAATACAATTAATACTTACTCCACACCTAAATCACAGACATATCCACAGCCCAACACACGCTCAGGTTCCTATGAAAAACTTTCCAGGTATGTCTGGAGATAGATGAACCGGATTTCTCAGCTGACTTTAATGCTCCTGCTGACATGCAGGCTTTAATTGATGCATCTATGTCACAAGCTATGATTAAGGCCCTGAAATGGGATTTATGTCTGA